CTAAGTAAGAGAGTAAACTGGCTTTTCGGTGTCTGTGCAGTGACCAAGGTCATTTGAAGGACCAGGCTTAGTTTGGTCACAGCAGCAACATGAATCCTCCTCATCCCAGTTACAGTGATACTGGAAACATGAAAGCTTTTTTTTTTCGTGGAAACTGAGAGTGGTCAATCAATAGTGTTGCTATGCTCATGTGAAAAGATCTCACACACACACACACACACACACACACACACACACACACACACACACACACACACACACACGCAGAGAGAGAGAGCCCCGGGGCTCAGTGATGGATAGAGCAGCAGGGGGACACTGCAGCCACCTGCCAGCAGACACAGTCCATCCCTGTGTTTTCTGTGGTTACACAGCGGTATTGCATGGAGCTGCTTGATACAAAAAACAAAAAACAAAAAAAACAGGCAACTTTAACGGGCCCATATGTGCATGCATTGGCTTAGAGGGGCACTGAGCTCTCACTTTAAATGCACACACATATAGTGTGCCATGCTGCTGCAGATGAATTGAAACGGAAAAGAGATGCGAATGGCTGTGGGTGTTCTGTAGGCATCTTTCATTTTAGTAATTTCCGGCTGTGGTAGCAGCTCCTGTGGCAGCAGTGGTGAAATTTTGTGGTGGTAATAGCTGTGTTTTCTCCTGTGTGTCTGACATGTCAACACTTGACTGGGGAAACTTTGAGACTACACCGCTGCACTTTGCATATGGAATTTTCCTCCCAGCAGCGTCACAGCATGTCTGCTGTACCTCCCCTCTAACGCAGTGCATCATACCTTTTGGTTTATGCCATTTCAAATACGCAAGAAAAAAAAAAGCCCCTTGGTTAACATGAGATCCTGTTTTCGTGCAAAGACTCTGATGTTTTCCCTTGAAACATGACTTCTGCTGTTCAGCTGAAATCTCAATCGCAGCAGTTGCTCAGGCACGGTCATTATTTCCCTGAAATGCATGTATTTCTCTCTCAAACGAGGACTGATCATTTGGTGGCCAGGTCAGTTAGAAGATGCCGGACGCTGAGAGGAGAAGAGGGGTGTGGAGTCTCGGAGATCAGTTACTCCCTGATGCGAAACTGAACAGGAAAGAACAAATCACAGCAGCAGATGATTTTTGTGTATCCATGATGAATCTCCTTGTGACTGTTAGAGAGATTAAGTCTTTATTACAGAAGAAAAGCCCAGCGTCTTTTAGAGGGAGCAGGAAGCCATTAAATTTCCTTAAAATGGAAAATATACATGATTAATGTTTTTAATATTTTAGTCCCAGACCTTTCTGTTTTAGTGTCATAGGTGATTTTAGAGCTCATTCTGTGAAGAAACACTTGGTCATGCTGTGAAAAAAAAAAGATGCTGAATCTCTTGCTGTGTTGCCATTACAGTGACTTATAAGCAGGGAGTGTGAAGGGCAAATGGAGAAAGATGTGTTACAGGATGTTTCAGACCACAAACAGCTCAACAGAGGTGATTCTACGTAAGCAAACAGCAGACACACTTCACTGTAAAGAAGATAAGCTAAAAACATAGACGACCCAAGCACGAGGCCAGCCACTGCCCTTTATCTAGACCAAAAATATCTGTGCATCATTGTTCGTGTGAGTGAGACCGTGTGCGTGTGTGTGTGTGTACATTAAAAATCTGGGCGTGCATGCTTCGTCAGGGTTTTATTTTAGGAGTTATCTTTTTGCACAGAGAAAGTGCAGCGGATGTACGTAGTGTGTGACAGGTAGCAGGTGGTGTAATGGGCCAGCGTTGCCTTGGTTTCTTGGTGAGCAGACGGTTTGCTAATTAGGGCTTATCAGGTGTTTCTGGGAAAAACACCAGAGGCTTTTGTGCAGCCGTCAGCCCCGTGATGGAAAGGGAAACTTCTGTCTTGTTAGGATTAGGAGGAAACAAGGGTCGTCTTTCAGCAATAAAGCATCAGTCCCTTCTGAATCATATTTTGGATGTCAAGAAAAATCTATTCTATGCTCTAGACTATGTGCAGCTTTTCGCAACTGTCAGTGGTTTACTGAAACACTGTATGCGTGGTTGCAGAAAGCTGTGAAAGTCCTAGTGTAATACACTGTGTCAACATTTAGTTACGTGACAATGCACTACAAGAGCATCTCTGAATCATTTCTCAAATGATGAGAAAGATGTAACATTTTTGGTGACGAAAAGGATCGTTTGAGATCTCTTAAGGGATATCCTGTCTCTTGTTTGGTTTCCTTTGTCTCTTCAACTTGTTTCTGTCTACAGTAATTTCTTTCATTATCTTGTCTAAGCTTCATGGTGAAATCCAGACAGGATATTGTGTTATTTGTCTTTCTGTAGCGTTGCTACACCTTCGCCCACATCACAGCACTTTGACATTTGCTTATGAATCCAGGAGAAATCAGGAAATGAGTGTACTATTTAAAATGATGTGTGTTCTCCAACATCCACATACTTATGTATATGCACAACTCAGTACAGTTTAAATGTAGTGAAGCTCAGACATGTTTAAATCATAAACAACCTGAGAACAAGTTATACATTTTACCTTGGAACTGTTTAATTTGCCGTTACATGTCGTCCCAGATGTCAAACAAAGGGCACGACTTTGACGATGGGTCCGGAGGGAGGGAGGCGTTAGATAGGAGGAAGTCTCCACTCCTGTCGAGCAACCGCCTTGGAAGCACCTGAATGGCGCACGGCAGGTGGAGGGGCAGGGCAGGGCTGCGACGAGACAGTGCTGTAGGCAAACCAGCCTGTCAGGTTTCCCACACACAGTGAAATCCCCTGATGACAGACACCAAGGACTCCGCGTTGTCAGGAGGACCTCGAGCTGTCTGCACAACAGATGGGAAAGAGAACTGTCCTAGGAAAACTGGGCAGAGCTGAGAGAGGGAGAAAAAGCGAGATTGAAACAAAGGAAAAGCAGCAACATTTTTTTTTTTTTTTCCTCCTAGCAGGCTGGAGGCGGTGGAGATACAGAGCTGGTCTATGTCTGCTGACTTTTCCATTAATAAAATCATTATAGGCTGCAATAATTTAACTAATTTAATTGCGCTGTTGCAGCTGGCACATGTGCTGAGCCTCAAGCCTCCTATTTGTGTCTATTAATGGAGCTAAAAGGGATGGGGGAGAGACTGCTGTCCTGATACAGCCACTCTGAATTGTAAATAAATTCCTGCTATGATACAGTTGCAGCAGCCAAATGGAAGTGTGCTGTCCCATTATTGAGGCTGAAGGGCAATGCTCTTCACATTGAAGGAGACTATTGTTCTTTGTTCCTGCTTGAGGAAACGGTGTGCTGGTTATTACTGGCAACCAATAGCAGCTGTGTGCAGAAAATGCCTCTTTGCAGGCAATGCTTTGCCACACCGCTCTGTGTCTGTCACACCTAGTCATGTGAGTGGAGAAAGCTTTCTGTGCACGTGTAGAGTAAGGCTCTGTGGTGCAACACAACACACGGATGAGTTTCGTGCATCTGTCTATGTGCTCATCATCAGTGACGTCTCAGATTCCTGCCTTTGTGTCCAGATGCCGTTCCACATGCATGCTCTCTGTCTGGCTTTGTCTCATTCCCTCTCCATCGTTCAGTCTCTCAGGTTCTGAGTTAAAGCCCAGCAGAACAGAGGAGAGGTTCAGGCCCTAGTTTCCACTAAAGCGTCCCAGTTGAGAGCTGCTGCAGCCATCCTGGCTAGTTGTGAAGACAAGCATCAGTGTTGAATTACCTCTGGAGCTGGCCTGCAGAGGGATCCTGTTACTTTTGACAGGTTTAAGACACCAGCACCACCTCTAATTAGATTTCCAGAGCCTCCAACTTTCCTTTGTTTTCAGCCCTGTAGCTGCATCCACTTTTATTTTGTTTTTGTCTGTGTTGAGGTTTTTCCTCTATGATAATTATTCTATTATATTTTAATTTAATTTCTTTTGGCTCATCATTATAAAACTTTACACCTCATTACGTTGAAGGTTTTCCTCATCGGTTTCACACTAGTAAATTTGTTTATGCATTGTCTTAGTAGCAACATATTCCCACAAAGCGCCATAATTATTATAGTAATTATGGCGCTTTATTCCTCATTATAACACACACAACTGTGCAGAATCTTTAGTTTATTGAATAATTAAAATGGCAATATGTCAAATCAAGCACCCACCTTTTCCTCTCAGGTATCTATTTGATTAGCGTTTCACAACTGGTTGGAAGGGGTGGGTCAGGATGAAGAGGCCTGGCTGATCCACAAGCTATGCTGAAGTTTCAAGAGGTAGCTCACTGGAGTGGAATGGTTCGCTCCCCACAACAATACCGTGTGTTGACAGCCGAGTGCGCGGACAGGGTTGGTGGAATGTCCCCTTCAGACTGCGAGCGCAGCCTTTTGTCTGAGCGCCAGCACCCACAGAGCCTCACAGAGCATTTATTCTTCCACCTGAAGATGAACTCTTCCTGCACAGGTTCACCGTCGGAAAAAAAAAAAAAAAAAGGGGGGGTGGGTGGGAGGGGGAAGATCTTTGAATGTTAATATTCCCCCACAGAGTCATTTTTTATGATAACGTACGACTCCCTTATGAGCCACTGGATTATGACTCTCCATCTGTTTTAGTCTGCAACAAGCTGCAACTGTTGCCTGCAAGGGAGTTCAGTTTGGGATGTACCAAATGGACACAGTGAGTGCAGTGTGTTCACTGTGTGATCAGTCGTTTGTGACATGTGGTTGTCGTTCTTTACCCTCATGTTGAATGTTTATCTGTTAGATCCCAGGTTCTTATTTTAAAGCTCTGACCTGTTGCTGCTCCTTCTTCAAGTGAATTTAAGAAAATGTTTAGTTTCCGCTCTGCAGACTGGACTACAGACAGGTTGTTGCCTAGATACTTTGTTTTGCTTTTGTTGGACTTTGACTCGGGCGAGTGCATTGCTTTTTTTAAAATGTGTGTTTGCATTGTCACAGTTTATTTCATTAGTGCAACAAAATTTCCCCTGTGAGTAATGCAGGCTTCTCTTTCTTTGTGTGTCTGCAGGTGACCCGCACAGGACTCCTGAGACGTGACTGTGGGACAGGCAGTCTCCCTCCCCAGCCCTCTTCCTGTCCTTAAAGGCAATGATTATCTCAGTCGACACTCTGCACGGCTCCACTGTGTGAATGAATCTTTGCCGTAAAGCCGCTGTGCTCTGCCACCCTGTCACCATGAAGAGCAAGTATTCCCAGTACTACAATAACAGTCTGATCCACTCCTACTATGCCTTTGCTAAGAACATGACCACCCAGGAGCTGGAGAAGCTCATTGAGAATAAAAAACACCTCACCACCCTGAACATTGTCATCGTGGTCCTCTGCACCATCATCATCCTGGAGAATCTGCTGGTCCTCATCGCTGTCTGCCGCAACAAGAAGTTCCACTCTGCCATGTTTTTCTTCATCGGCAACCTGGCGTTTTCTGACTTGCTGGCAGGTTCGGCCTACATAGCCAACATTTTTCTATCAGGGTCAAGGACTTTTGAGCTGGTGCCTGTGCAGTGGTTTATCCGGGAGGGCACGGCGTTTATCGCTCTGGCAGCTTCAGTCTTCAGTCTGCTGGCCATAGCTATAGAGCGCTATATTGCTATCACCAAAGTTAAAGTGTACGGCTCCAACAAAACGTGCCGCATGTTCCTCCTGATAGGAGCTTGTTGGGTCACCTCCATCCTGCTCGGAGGACTTCCCATCATCGGCTGGAACTGCATCAACAACCTCCCTGAATGCTCAGCCGTGTTGCCACTCTACTCTAAGATATACATCGTCTTTGTTGTAACCATTTTCAGCATCATACTACTCTCTATTGTCATCCTCTATGTGAGGATCTATTTGATTGTACGCTCCAGCCACCAGGAAGCAACCAACTCACCGGCCTATGCCCTTTTGAAAACAGTCACTATAGTGCTGGGTGTCTTCATCATGTGCTGGCTGCCTGCTTTTATCATCCTCCTCCTAGACTCATCCTGCGGCATACAATTCTGCCATATCCTCTCCAAAGCAGACATCTTTTTTGGCTTTGCCACTCTGAACTCAGCTCTTAACCCAGTGATCTACATGCTGCGCAGCAAGGACATGAGAAAGGAGTTCATGCGTGTGCTGTGCTGCTGGGGGGTGCTGCAAAGCGGGCGGCCCGCTGACCGTTGTCTGGTCCTTCTAAAGAGCTCCAGCTCCATGGAGCACTGCACGAACAAACTCGAACACCAGACCACACCCATCATGCAAGATTGTACCACCTGTGTCTAATGTGGTGCAAAACACATCAGAGTGCTTGTGAGTGAGTGTGTGTGTGTGTGTGTGTGTGTGTGTGTGTGTGTGTGTGTGTGTGTGTGTGTGCGTGCGTGCGTGCGTGTGTGTGAGTGTGTGTGTGTGTGTGAGTGTGAGTGTATATGAGATCAAGTATGAGAGGCTGTGATGAGACAGAGAGAAGCAAGCACACACCCTGGACTGAGATGCCTGGCGAGGCTGGGACACAGCTGTCTGCAGAGACATATTCTACGATGCAGACTTCTTTGTATTACAATCAAATTTGTGTGAAGAATCAAAATCAGCATTCAATCAATTCGCCCAAGCAGTGGGTGTAAGTCACAATGTTTCAAGAGGGAACCAATTTAAAGGGTGAGAACTTTCAGAAATGTGAAAATAGCTTTTTTTATGGGTACTCCCATCACTTAATATGGAGTTGCAAACCATTTTAATGTATAAATGTATACGCTTGTCATCTTGATTTTGTTTTTCTTTCTAAACATGTAAAACCCTATTAAAAGCCAAAAAATGGAAACATAGCATGCATAATATCATAGTTATGGTGAGTTGTTTTGGGCCTTTCAAGAACTGTGTCAATGCAAAGCTTGCAGAGTTGCACTTTGTAGATTACTTCAGTGATTGTTGTCCTTTGTAAGGTTGAACCACATTACTCTCCTTCACTGATATATGTATACATCAGGCCTACAGATTCATCGCTCGTTCCTTACTGAACCGAAGGCAGTGATCAGCTTCACTCCACACTGCACTCCACAGAAGCCATACTACCACGAGTTCTCCCTCAACAAAACCAGGGCTATATATTCCCTATATAACCTTGCTTAAACCATCTGATAAACTACAACAAATTTGCATAATCTGCTTACATTTACTGCATGAAATTCTAACTCGTTTGTAAGCACTAATGTGTATGATATATTCCAGCTCCAGCTTCCATCACTAACACCCCTTCCCTCATTCGCCGTCATAATCTGTCCCTCTTGCTTTTACTGTTGTCTTTTGTATCTTAACAGTTTCTGTGGAGGAAGGCCTAATCAGAAAGCACATTTCCTGAAGTGAGTTGGCACTGATGAATTTTACTCATTGACAGCTGTCCAGCAGCTTTGACTAATGGGACCAATGTCCTGACAGTGTTGTAGCAACATAGCAGCAATGTGCTGTCTCTGTTTGTGCCTTCCTCTTGGGGAATTAGGCTGAATGTATGTATGAAGTGTTTGGGGCAGGCGCTCCATTGTTGACAGTATTATTGATCATTATTTTGAATTACCAAGTCACTGACGATCGGAGAGTGGGATACACAGGGTAGGTCACCCTCACTGTGAAGTCTTAAATAGCACCATGAACAAGAACTTGTTGTGAACATCCTGGTTTAATTTGCGAGCCATAATGCCATATGCAATTTAAGATATAATCTCATTTTTCAAAGACCCCACGCCTCCCCTACAAAATAAGAGAAATTCTTTTTTTCAAATGCACAGGGGGAATCTGCCTCCCAGGGAGGTTAGCTTCATCCTCATTCTATGACATCCTACGACACGCAACTTCCTTCAGCCATAGGAAGTCCTGTTTTTCATTGTCCGGTTCCTGTTGTTCAAACTTACACTAATGTTCATCCTGTAGACACACATTTAAGAATTCTTCTCTCCCTCTGTGTTTTTTCTTGACCTTTACATTTAGATGGCCAAGTAGAAATGGTGAAAAGCACTTTGGCAGCTTCAGTGATGTTTGCTTTCCCCCAGTTTGTTTCAGATGGAGAGGTGTTTAAATCTATGTACCTATCACTTTGTCGTGTTGCCTGATTCTATGATTTTTTTATGATAAATATATGAAAAACTATGTATGTTTGTAAGTATGTATGTATGTATCTTTGTACAGTATGTATGATTTGTGTTGTATGAAATGTCTCGTGTGCAATAGCCTTGTGTGTCCAGTAGCACGCTGCCTGTGTTAAACCGGTACAATCTGAAACACTAATGTAGGTACATAAACATTTTGTAATTGCATTCCCTTTTTATAAAATAAATGAAATAATGAAAGAATCCATTTTGTGGGCTTGAGTTTGATTCTGATTTAATTGCAGCTGTGGCTTGTCTGCAGGTCCTGAGATGTCGCCCTATTGTGCCTACAAGAAGCACTCAAACTGCAGCATTTAATCCAAACATGCTCTGACAAGGTCAGAAAAACACTAGCCTCATCATGAAAGTACAAAATTGTACATGCAGATGCTGCTCAGCCATTAATCATTGCTCTCTTACCTAATAAAATTGTTCAATAGCTTAAAGGCTAAAGCAAGACCGGGCTATGATGGGAAGCTGAGCAGAGGGTAGGGAGGGTGAAAATGGGGTTTGGTGAAAAAGAATGTCTGTTTGTAAGATAGTTTGTCTGAGAGAAGCATAAAGAATGGCCCTGGGAGAGGTTTTCGGGTGAGGGGGAGACTTGGGGTGAGGGGAGAGGGGAGAGGCTGACTTATAGCGTCCTTGAGAGTTGGGCCTGTTTCCTGTCAGACATCCAGGATTCCTGGGTGGGAACATTGGCTGAATCAGCCCCAGGAGGCTGTGCTGCTGGGAAGTCTGCCAAGTCTTTCCAGTGCCCTGCAGGATATGACATCAGATTCAGAAACCTGAAGGTGAAGTTGTATACACAATAATATTTAAGTCAGCACAAGACCGATGTGTGTTTATCCCTGTCACATAGGACAGTCTGTAATACTTCATAAATAAAAAACTACTACACACGGCCAAAAAAAAAAGAACACACTTTATCATCACCAATAAATTATGTAAATATACTACATGCACACACACCCCTCTTAAACTGCCGTGGAATGGAAAACTGATCACTGTTCAATTAAATAAAAGGTAAAAAAGAAAAAAGAAAAAAAGAAAAAAAATTAAAAAGGTATTATTATTACTCATGAGGAAACTTACAGTAAATGTGGCCAGGCTGGTACATGTACAATATGACAGGGAGATGATTTGCCAACTTGAAAAAGCCTTTGCCTGTTTTCAGACTATCAATGCCACCTTGTGGTAAAATAGGCATATAGCAGCCATTTAGCCATTGAGATGTTTTCTCCATATACTTTTTTTTTTTACTTTAACTACATAGAAGTTTATATAGTATTATTATATCTGACTTCATTATGTTATTAATACTGAAGCATTAGTGTGTAAACAGCATGGTTACTGTTGTAGTTTCTGTAAGTGGAGCTACTTTGAAAAACTTAATACACAGTTTTATTTACAGGGACACCAGATAAATCCAGCCAAAAAAGTTGGAAACCATTGGTTTAATGTTTAACAATGTTTTGTGTTTTGAAATAGTTGTATTATCCATTATGTAAAATCTTCATTACAAAAGTAACTAGTAACTAAAGCTGTGAAATAAATATGCTGTAGTAGAAAGTACAATATTTCCCTCTGAAATGTAGTTGAGTGGAAGTTAAAAAGGAAATACTCAAGTAAAGTACAAATATCCCAAAAAGTACAGTACTTAAGTAAATGTACTTAGTGTTTTCACCACTGATCTATATTAGGGCTTTAACTAAATGATTATTTTCATTATCCATTGACTAAGTGCAAAAGTGTGTGCACCTGCATTTATTTACTTCCTCTATTTCTATATTTTCTATGAGTTATACTTGTTTACAAACAGGGAGAATGTCCAAATCCACAATGTAAAATGTTATCTTTATTGTTTTTTTAGTTACATGGATTATGCAGTAGAACGTGTTTATTTATTTATGTATCAATTTACGTATTCATTAATTCCTTCATGTTTTCATCTATCATTCATTCATTTTTGCTTTAAGGGGATACATGTGTTGGTCGGTTGTGAAATATTTTCCTGAATTTGACCAGCAGAGGTCTCCATCGAGCTTTGATTTGAAAAGCTTCAAGTGATGAGCCATTTTTCAATACAATTGTGTTGAAAGCTTCACTGATTCATAAAGCTTCACTTCGCCATCACTACAATAACACAACAACTCTTGTTGTACTGTTATTCAATGCAAGCGCATCTATTTAATGATGCCATTCAAAAGTACAGATAAATATCATCTCAAATGTGGAAATGTATTGTTAATATTGCACATTAGTAAACAACATTCAGATCGCTTCCGCTTGGTCAGTTGTCTACAACATCTGGTTTACAGCAGGGGTGGGTCAAGTTAATTGTTCATTTCAGGAAAATTATACTTAAAAAACATAACTACGTGACAATCCCGGTCCAGTCTTATAAATGACATGATATAGTAAATTTATTTCGTATGACAAATCATCCATTCAGCAGAGACATCACGTCCCACTGTGAAAGCGTTTCACCCATAGAAAACTGCAGTGGTACAGTCCACAACACCCGGGTTTCCGCGCGAAAAGACGGCCCGCGCGCCCGAATTGCTTATAGCATCCATTGCAAGGTCTAGCACACACCAGGCAGTCACGGTGGAGCCGCGCTGTGGTTAACACCGGCGGGTTTTTACACGGTTTTAACGGAATTTTTAAACGCAGTTTTATCTTTCTTGTCTTACACGTTTAGCTAGCTGTTTACCATGCCAGCCAGGACTTCCCTGTCTCTGCCAAATGATGTCAGGAAAAGGTAACGTTAGTAACCTGAATGCTAATAACAGTTGATGTCCCTGTGATGTAGCGTGTCTGCAGCTTATTGTCTCAGTTCAGAAGCAGCAGCGGCAACATTAACAGCAGTGAAACCCGAAAAACGCTGTTCTGTACTTGCCCTGGTTGTCATGAGCGGGGCCACCACTACATTTTGCCTGTGCTAGCAGCTGCAGCTAGCATTAGCTCGTTGCCATTGAACAGCCAAGGCTGATGCTGCATACAGAGTTAGCCCCTTGACAACGGTTAGCCAGTTAGCATTAGCCTTTCAATGGACGGAGCAGCGTGTGAGATTTGGCGCCACTCAGGAAGTTTTGTTACCTGTGTTGCTGCTTGCTGGCTCTCAGACTGGTTATAACGCAACGTCCCTGTCAATGAATGTGCTCGTCGATGATTTGTCCTCTGTTGCACGTCAGTTAACTAACCGTAGCGTTGTTTTGACACATTCTTTGTTCACAGGCTGCAGGTGCTGGATGAGGATGGAATTTCAGACGAGGTGGGTTTTTGTCGTTTACTGCTCCTGAAAGCCTGATGTCATCGCCATAGGTGTTACTCCAGCTGCTCACTAATTGTTGTTAGCTTGGCACTCCAAAGACCATTGAACACGATGGTAGAGTTACGGTATAGTGCCACCTTAAAGAGAAGCGCCACCCTCAATTAGATTTCACTTATCTGAATAGATCAATTATACTGTGCGAGGAGGAATGAGTCTGTCAATACACTTGATAGAAAAGAGATTCACTGTACAGGTGATGCCATATAGCAACAAGTGTCGATGCTGATCCATGGATTCCCTGCATGTTTTAAAACCAATTTGGATTTAATATCTCAAACGCAATCGCTGCCCAAAATGTTGGAAAGATATCATTAGTTCAAGTCTTGATACTGTCATGTTAAGGTAAGGGTCAGCTGCAACTTGAAATGACTACCTCTGATTTCATACTTTATTGTCAGAAATATAGATTATGTGTATCATCAAGGATTTATGAAAAATTTCTTTGAACAAGTATTAACATATTTAACTATCTTCTGGTTGCAAGTAGCTTTTCTGATGCTGTTGCCAGATGCATTTAAGGGCAATAGTCAGTACAACACTAAAAAATCAAGCTATATATTGTACAGTAATAATGTTAAATATATGTCATGCATTTTCTGTACTTGCTTCCTTTTTATAAAGTTTATTTATTCAAATACTGTTTCAGGATCATGTCAAAGAGAAGCTCAAGTTAGTGCAGGACTTTCTGCATGTTGACGTTCAGGACCAGCTGACCAACCTGGAGGAAAAGATGAAAAGTGAAGAGATCTCAATGGTTAGTCAGTCTTTCAGATTTCTGAAGTATTACTAATCCCAGAAGTTTACTGCTCATGATTTCTCCTGTGATGTGATGTATGCCATGTGCTCTCCTCAGGAGGTCTACATCACTAAAGTGAAGGCCTTGCTGGGAAAAGAGCTTAACCTTGAAAACGGCTCACATGTTGATGGCGTGGAGCAGAATGGAAAGACAAATGGCTTCACAAACGGCTCCCACAAAGATGAGAACGGTGAAGATGTAACCATGGATGTACAGGAGGCAGAGGAGGCTGTCAAGTCACCAACTGCTACTAAGGGGAAGGGTGGACGCAGGAGCAAGGCAAATTCTGACACCAAAAGTAAGTTTGAGATTTCTCATTAATATTTATCATTGAACAGCTGTACTCAAAGATGTAGATGAAACACATATAAATGCTTTAAAATAATGGTGTAGGAAAATTTAATCTTGTTTTTTCTTTTGTAGAGTCTCCAGTCAGTACCAGGGTTACAAGAAACGGTGGGAAACAGTCAACCATCTTGTCAATGTTCTCTAAAGTGTGCGTATATTAATTTTTTTTTTAAATTTGTACCTGTATCTTTCTCATCCACATTTTTAGCAATTAAAAGTTTTTAAGTTACAAGTGTGTATATTCTGTTTAAAGTTAAATCTGTCTTGCAGTCAAAAGCGTAAGTCGGAAGACCTGAATGGAGAAGCTACTAATGGGCAAACTGAACCGAAGAAGGAGAAAGATGATGTTGAGGAGGTGACGCGTTTTTTCACGTACCAGTACCAGCTTTAAACATCAAGAGTTGTTGTAATTCTCAATGTCTGGTATATAACACTGCACATACTTTCAAATCTGTTGTAGTCTCGGGAGGAGAAGCGTCTCAAAGTGGACTCCAATGAAAAGTAAGCCTTCTGCCCTCTGAACATTAATGATTTTGATAGTGGTCATACAAAAGACTGTACTAATACTTTATTTTATGCAGTGCTGCTCCAGAAGAATCGAAGAGTGAGGTTATTAAACCGGTTTCTGCTGCAAAGGTAATGAATTAGGTTATTTAGCACAGTGTCATGGCTGTAAACATTTTTTGTAAGCGTGACAAAGCCTGTATAACATTTGTCTTTTATTTTTCTTTTTTTTTTCTTTTTTTTCCTTTAAAGACACCACCACCCAAATGTCCAGACTGCAGACAATACTTGGATGATTCAGATCTAAAATTTTTCCAAGGGGATCCTGATAATGCGGTGAGAATCATCAAGTTCACGCTCATTCAAGCAGAGCTTTTTTGAAATGTCATTACTTGTATTGACTAGATGCATGTGAATCATGAAACAATTATTTGTGTATTCAGCTGGATGAACCAGAAATGTTAACAGATGAGCGTCTCTCCTTGTTTGACTCAAATGAGGATGGATTTGAGAGCTATGAGGATCTGCCACAGCACAAGATTACAAACTTCAGGTAAGGGATTGTTGGCCTAGTTTAGAGGAACAAATGTGTCCTTTCTAATTGCATTTTGTTACATGCTTGCCTGAGGTTTTTGTCAGTTATAGTATTAACACTTGTCTTCCAGTGTGTATGACAAGCGTGGTCACCTCTGTCCATTTGACTCTGGACTGATTGAGAAGAATGTAGAGCTCTACTTCAGCTGTGTTGTCAAACCTATCTATGATGACAACCCTTGCATGGATGGTATGAAAAACACTTAAAGAATCAAAACTTGTTGTTTGTTTTTTATAAATAATTTCTGCCTGATCATAATAAATTTTCTTTAACCTCTACAGCAGCGCACATTTACCTCTGTTTGTTTTTGTTTTTTTTTTAATCCAGGTGGTGTTCCTGCAAAGAAGCTTGGACCCATCAATGCCTGGTGGATCACTGGTTTTGATGGTGGAGAAAAAGCTCTAATTGGTTTCACTACAGGTAGTGAAGTTTTTATTTTTTTATTTTCTGCTCTTCATTTAAATGCACCTTTCCCTCTTAGCACGATGTTCTAATCGCTGATATCAATGTCTTCATTATCCAGCGTTCGCTGATTACATCCTAATGCAGCCGAGTGAGGAGTATGCGGCCATCTTTGCACTGATGCAAGAGAAGATCTATATGAGCAAAATAGTGGTGGAATTCCTCCAGAAAAATCCTGATGCTACTTATGAGGACCTTCTCAACAAGATTGAGGTGAGGACTTATGTAAATAGAACGAGCACAGCGTTTTTGTTTTTTGATAACAGCTCATTGCTACGATGCCTTTAATCTGCGCCATCCAGATGTGTTCATATTATTTAAGAAATTGGATTTGGCTGCACTTCTTAAACAAAAATTTATAGACATTTGATTTTGGACATTTCACATTAGGGATTAACATACTGATAGTCGTTTTCAGAATATTATGTAGAGAAGTGAAACGCAGCACTGAAACAATCAGTTTTGTGATGTATAAAATCATTTATAAAAGGTTGTTTTTGGTCAATTTCTCATGTAAATATCAAACATTTCCTGGTTACAGGTTTATACATATAAGTGTAGACTGATATTGTGTGATTGGTATTTCATCACTTTTGACATTTAATTATTAAATCAGAAAAATCAGTTTGCAAGAGAATGTAGCTTTTGTCACTGCAACACAATGCCTGGATATTGACCAGCTGCTCTTCCTCCTGCCCACAGACCACTGTGCCTCCTGCAGAGCTAAACTTCAACTGCTTCACTGAAGACACCTTGCTGCGCCACGCCCAGTTTGTGGTGGAGCAGGTGGAGAGCTATGATGAGGCCGGCGACTCTGATGAGCAGCCCATCATTGTTACACCCTGCATGAGAGACCTGATCAAGCTTGCAGGAGTCACTCTAGGGAAGAGGTACGGCGAAAAGATGATTAGATTATGTTTTGGTTCCCTTTTTACTGTGCAGCAGTGTCATCTGGAACTAGTCAAAGTTTTACACTCCTATTTAAACATAACATTAACTGACTTAACTAATTAACAAATAAAAGTCGTCTTGGTTTGAAAGTGAATGAGCAGACTCTTGCCCTCCAGGAAATATTGTGCTAAATACTTGAAATTTTCAGTTTGTATCATTCATACAACAGAAATCCATAGCAAGCTATCGCAGTTCAAAATGAAAACCAAGCTGAGCTGTGTCCATGCTGTATTTTTAACTTCAGTGAGAACTCTTCATTCTCAGCTTCACCAAGATTTCTAGCATCAGTTCCTTTGCAACTCAAATTCTTCAGGGTTTTGATGTTATCCCTTTTTTATTTTATTTTTTTTATTTTTTGCTTATATTCCTGTCTTTATGCTCCTCGCTCCTTGTTCTCCCTAATGTCTAACATTCCTTTGACATTTCCTAATGCAGCATGCTGCTGTACTGGTAGGTAGGCCTCGTTGTGAATGCATCCTTAGCTTGTATGGTGGTGTGTTAGTGTGAAGCATTTAGAAGCTATATGGACAAAAAGAGCATTATACCAGAGTTCACGCTAGAATTTTATTTCCAGTTTTATTCATTTTGTCTTTTATATTTTGGCTTTACATTGTGGTTTATTTTAGTTTTTATATGGCACATTTGAATTCTGGCCATTTAACACCTGGGTGTGTGGACCAGGGTCCATAAGTTATCTTGACTCAGTCACAAGTCTTTGTTCTACAAATTGAATGTCTGGTAGGATGCTAAAAAGAAATTAATAGAAAAGTTCTTTTGAAGTATTTGTATGAATATTGTCCTGTGTTTATATAAAAAAAAACCTAACTAACCCCAATCTAAGAAACTTGATTAACAATTACTGTTCAATATACAAAACTGCTTTCCTAAAGGTCAGTAATTTAAACTCTATTCTAGTACTTGTGACATTTATACAACATTTATAAGTCTGGTGGGTGGCGTTAGCCCCAAAGGTAATTGGTAGACAAGGAAGTAGTCTTTCAGTTTACTCTTTATCTTCATGCAGAAGTGTCGTCTCAAAGAAAAAAATGAAAGGTTTGAAGTTTAAGTGTCTCTTAAGAGGTTTCCTCCCCATGCCCTCAGCTTCCAATTCTGGAGGTGGGATATCCCCATGGACATGATGATTTGTGTGAACCATCAGGGTTAGAACAAAAACTATGCATCATTTATCTTGGTAAAACTCAAATACTTATGACAAATGCGGTGAAGATGTTAATGCTATTTGATAATCCTCTGATTGAAGTACATTCTTAACCTTGAGCTCAATGTATTAAGTTCTGGGCAAATTGGAGTAATACGAATTATAAAACAAAGCTAAGTAGCACCTGGGCCTCAGATTTTCCTCAGTGTCATTTAGTGATGCAAACACCCAACATTGTTTCTTTTCTCCTTCAAATAATTGACACTGAGAATTGTCTTAAGTGAAGTATAACATCAAAGCTTATTCATAACTTAAGAGGACAGGGAAAAACAACTGGGTTGCAGTTGGATGAGATCAAAGCACATTCACTAAACTGAACTAAACTCCTTTAGCTGTATCTTGTTGACTGACTGACTTATTTTCTGCAGGCCAGAATGTTTGGAAAGATCTTTATTGGCCAATTGCATCTAACGGGAACTCTGCATTGTACATCTTGTCTGTTTGGTTTTGTTTGCTTGTTTCTTTTGTTGCATGGCCTGATGCTGTGGTGTGTTGAAGGCCAGGGGCTTCATAATGCCATCGCTCCACATACCATCAGGTGTTTGTGCCAAACCAAATGGACCCCTCTTCTGAACACAATCTTTATTCTACTGACAGGAGAGCTGCGAGAAGACAGGCCATTCGTCACCCAACAAAGATTGAGAAGGACAGTAAGGGACCGACTAAAGCGACCACTACCAAGCTGGTCTACCAGATCTTTGATACCTTCTTCTCTGATCAGATAGAGCAGAATGATAAAGAGAATGCAGTCAAAAGACAGCGCTGTGGCGTCTGTGAGGTGAGTGACTCAGTGAAGCCCTGCTGTTAAAATGGTGCTCTATTTCAACAACTTATTCATCAGTGTCTGATGTGCATTTGGTTTTATTTTTCTTTTAATTCTGACCAAAATATGGTTTTTGTCCATCTTCAGGTTTGCCAATCTCCTGATTGTGGCAAGTGTACTGCTTGCAAGGACATGATCAAATTTGGAGGAAGTGGCAAAAGCAAGCAAGCCTGTAAGCAGAGAAGGTGAGTGTCTTTCCGCAGTTAGCTGCAGTCTTTAATCTGTAGCCCATGAATGCCTCTCTGAATGTCCGTTCCCAACAGATCTGTTTAGTTGCTTGATGTGTTACTTGTAGCTGAATCTTTCAAACAAGAACAAATATTTTAGCACTTAATACACTTAACATGTGTACTGTTGCAATGACATAGTACAATTACGTCTGTAGTCCTTAATTTGTCTTTCCTCTGTATATCATTCATCTGTTTAGATGCCCAAACCTTGCAGTAAAGGAGGCTGAAGATGATGAGAACATTGAAGAGGAAGATGTTCCAGTGGAGAAGGCCAAAAAGCTTGCTCATGCTAAGAGGAAGAAGCAGACCCAGTGCAAACTGACATGGATCGGAGAACCTGTTCAGGTATTTGTCTACCTCTTGGTTGTTAGAACAGTTTTTCTGTCAAGCGTGAGACTCCAGCAGTGAGTGTATAAAGTATATCTGTCTCCTACCTCCTTCAGACTGAAGGAAAGAAGCAGTACTACAGGAAGGTCTCTCTGAATGATGAAGTGCTAGAGGTGGGAGACTGTGTCTCAGTTTCATCAGAAGATCCATCCACTCCTCTGTATCTGGCAAGGTGTGACATTTTTAGAAAGACACTCCTTGATAACATTTAGTTTGTGGCTGTGTATAAACCTGATGATGTACTCCTTCTCAGGATCACATCACTGTGGGAGGACATCAATGGAAAGATGTTCCATGCCCATTGGTTCCTTCGTGGGATTCACACAGTGCTGGGAGAATCCTCTGATCCACTGGAGCTCGTCATTGTGGATGAGTGTGAAGACATGCTGCTCAATTATGTCCAAGGCAAAGTGAACGTCACATACAAGCCCCCATCTAACAACTGGTTTATGGAGGTACGTTCACTTGACAGCAGGTTCATTTGCATTTCAGTATTAACTTTTCTTGATGCCATGGTTACTTTTTGTATTTTAGGGTGGCATGGATGTTGACATCAAGGTGATTGAAGATGACGGGAAGAGTTTTTTCTATCAGTTCTGGTACGACACAGAGTTTGCCCGCTTTGAGATGCCTCCCACGACCACTCCATCAGAGGACTGCAAGTTCAAGTGAGCACCATCCACACATGTATTTGTTTTGAACGTATGATCTTTTCTTTGTTTCTTTCTGTTATATTAACCTTGTGGATATGCTCTTTTTTTTTTTTTCTTTTCTTTCAGGTTCTGTGGCAGCTGTAATAGGACTAAAGAAAGGGAGGAACAGGAAATTCCTCGTGCATTTGAGCCCATGGAGAATGAAGACAACGACTCCAAGGCTCTGTATGCTCTGGCCTGCTTTAAAGGGGAGCAGTTCAGGGTGGGAGATGGCGTCTATTTGCTTCCTGAGGCTTTTAATTTCAGGTGTGAAGTAATTCAAAATTTGAACTTGTACATTGATGAAAATGTATACGAGACTGACTGCCTCTGTTCTCGGCTCTCAGTGTGAAGCCAGCTAGTCCGGTGAAGCGCTCCCATAGGAAAGAGGATGTGGATGAGGAGTTGTATCCAGAGTATTACAGGAAGTCCTCGGACTACATTAAGGGGTCCAACCTGGACGCTCCTGAGCCGTTCCGCATCGGGCGTATCAAGGAGATCTTCTGTCACAGACGCAGCAATGGGAAACCTGACGTGTCAGAGGTCAAATTACGACTTTACAAGTTCTACAGGTAAAAGGAATTTAAGTTAAATTGGTTGTTTTTCAGTGTGTAGTTTGTAACAACAAATGATTGCTCAGACTTTAGTGACCTTTGTCCTATCTCCCAGGCCTGAGAACACTCACAAAGGCGTCAAAGCAAGTTACCACACAGATATCAATCAGCTGTACTGGAGTGATGAGGAAGTGAGTGTCAGCATGACTGAGGTGCTTGGCCGCTGTCAAGTTGAATATGGAGAAGACCTGAATGAGTCAGTCCAGGACTATTCCAGTGGTGGACCTGACCGCTTCTATTTCCTGGAGGTACAGTTTGATAAATTACTCTGCAGTAATGTCAGAAATGGCTATTGTTTATTTGATCAGCAAAATAGCAAATATTAAACCAGCTACCCCACTGCTAAAATGTTAGCATTATATAAAACAGATCATAACACTGCATAAGCAAAGCCACTGTAAATGCTGCAAACTTGTCTAATGTGAAAAATGTGATTCTATGGTGATAATGTGCAAAGCAAGAGTATCAAAAGATTAAATGTTGAGCTGAATTGGAAAGACTGTAGAAAATTAGGAAATACAATGTCAATACTTGCATACAACATGTGAATCTTCAATGCAGTGTTTACATTCATTCTTATTCACATTCCTCTCACACAGGCCTATAATGCAAAATCAAAAAGCTTTGAGGACCCTCCAAATCACGCCCGCTCGGCTGCTCACAAAGGCAAAGGAAAGGGCAAAGGGAAAGGGAAAGGTAAAAAATCAGACATAAAAACAGATTTTTTTTTTATTATTTTTTATTTATTCATTTTTTTTTATTATTATTTTTTTATGTAAATTTTTTTGGCTCACTGAAATCCTAATCCAATGATCCTGTTATCCTCTACAAGGTAAGGGCAAAGGAAAGGCATCAGCTGCACAGGAGCCACAGGACACGCAGAATGAACCACAGGCACCTAAAGTGTCTAAGTATCGCACGCTGGATGTTTTCTCTGGCTGTGGTGGACTTTCTGAAGGCTTCCACCAGGCTGGTAAATGATTATTTTTTTATTTACTTCTTGCCATTCCTGAAATATGATCTCTGATCTGCAAATATTGCACAGAACATTTTTCAATACAGTGATGAAAGCATGAATGCTGGTTACTTTTAGGTATCTCTGAGACTCTGTGGGCCATTGAGATGTGGGAGCCTGCAGCACAGGCCTTTAGGCTCAATAACCCCGGCACCACAGTGTTCACTGAGGACTGCAACGTCTTGCTGAAGTTGGTGATGTCTGGAGAGAAGACGAACTCTCTTGGCCAGAAGCTGCCTCAGAAGGGTGATGTGGAGATGCTGTGTGGTGGACCTCCTTGTCAAGGGTTCAGTGGGATGAACCGCTTCAACTCTCGCACTTATTCCAAATTCAAGAACTCACTTGTGGTCTCCTATCTCAGGTCAGTGTCTGTTTCATCTTGACTCTTCGATTAAATGAAGTTTTCCTCCTTTTTTATAGACCACACATTCCTTCATTACACATTTTAAGATATTATTATTTTCCTTTGCAGTTACTGTGACTACTACAGACCAAAGTTTTTCCTGCTTGAGAATGTGAGGAACTTCGTGTCATTCAAAAACTCCATGGTCCTAAAGCTGACTCTACGCTGTCTTGTGCGCATGGGCTACCAGTGTACTTTTGGTGTCCTTCAGGTGGGTTTAACTACACTGACTATTGTATTTGTACTCAGGGCTGAAAATTGCACCTACTTGGGTGGGATCTGGGGAAATGGCATTAATCTCTGCATGTGTGAAGCTCTCCTGGTAAAGAAGGCAGCAAGTTCCTGGCAACTTTGTGTATCGGAGGATACGCATGGTTATAAAGTGTGTGTACTCTGCCCAGATCTACTAGTAGCTGTGGACACTGGTAGGGTCAGCAGCATCAAACTGAACTTTAGAAATCCAAGAATCTCACTGTCATGGTATGCACAAGGAAAAATACAGTCATCAAGTTAGCTTCACTAGACACGTAACATTCTCGGTGCTCCCCTCCTCAACAGGCTGGTCAGTACGGTGTTGCCCAGACCCGTCGCAGGGCCATCATCCTGGCTGCAGCCCCTGGAGAAAAGCTGCCTCGCTATCCTGAGCCTCTGCATGTGTTTGCTCCCAGAGCTTGCTCTCTGAGCGTGGCAGTGGATGAGAGGAAATATGTCAGTAATGTCACACGGTAATGTGAACTTCTTCTGTTGTCCCGTTTTTGATTTGTAATTCTACATCACAAGCGTACAAACCCCCAGTGGGATTCTCATCATACTAAATGTGCTCTCTTACAACAGAGGCAATGGAGGGATCTACAGAACCATCACTGTCCGAGACACCATGTCTGACCTGCCAGAGATTCGCAATGGTGCAGCTGCGTTGGAGATTTCCTACAACGGGGAGCCCCAGTCTTGGTTCCAGAGGCATATCAGAGGCACACAGTATCAGCCTATCCTCAGAGATCATATCTGCAAGGTGAGCTGTCCCTCACTTCCTGGTCGTAACATTAACATGATGTAGCTGTGCTGTATTGATGTAGTATCACTTCTCTTTTTTCTAAAAATAAAAAAAAAAAAAAAAAGCTTTAACAAAAATGCATGGTCTTTGTGTTCTCAGGACATGAGTGCTCTGGTTGAGGGTCGGATGCGTCACATCCCCTTGGCTCCAGGCTCCGACTGGAGGGATCTGCCTAACATTGAGGTTCGGCTGAAAGATGGCACCATGACCAAGAAACTGCGTTACACACACTCCGATAAAAAGAATGGACGCAGCAGCACTGGTGCACTCAGAGGCGTTTGCACTTGTGCAGGAGGTATGCAGGTCTAGTTTTCTACTTGAGTAATGGAAATTACAAACCTTACATTTCTAGTCTGGAGGCTGTGGTATCTTGAGGTGCTGATGTGAAGAAGTGATCACCGCTGACACGTCTTTACTTGCAATCAAAAAGAAGTTTATTTACAAGAAAGAAACAGTGTCAAAAATGCCGAATCCTGGAGCATCTCTGCCAATGTGAGATCTCCTCCTTTACCTTCTCACAAACCCCTCTATTTATCTGTCGTATCCCATCTTTGGAATGTACCCTTCTTCCAATGGGAAGAAGTCTTCACCCTAATGTTAATTCAAATCTAATATACGGGTATCTGGTCTCTGGTCTTTTGACCTTTAAGGTCAGCACAAAACCCCCACATCGTGGATGCCTTATATCGTAGGAAACAGGAAACAAATAGTTAAACAAATTTGTCCCCTAATGCACTTTCCTTAAACTTGACTTATACTAAGTAGTTCAAAATAACCTTTGACAAAGCTTTAGTTGTCACCCTTCCTTAACTTCTCTAACATCTCTAATGTTTATACATTGTATAGGGAAGCCATGCGACCCTGCAGACAGGCAGTTTAACACCCTGATCCCCTGGTGTCTGCCCCACACTGGCAACCGTCACAATCACTGGGCTGGACTGTACGGCAGATTGGAGTGGGACGGCTTCTTCAGCACGACTGTTACTAACCCTGAGCCAATGGGCAAACAGGTACATCTACTTTTTATCGAATGAGTTTAAATAAAACCAAAACCAAACCAATGTTTCAAAACTGGCACAAAAGTGCTAAGAGCCCAAAATGATCTTGCATAGAGATAAAGCTCCATTGGTTAAAAATATTCAGCTAACCCAGATTTGAAATTCATGTTATCGGATCAAATCAACTGATTTCTGGTTTGGATAGAAAAATATATACTAATAGGACTGCAATTGAATTGATGCCTTGAAGGCATGTAACAGACTTCCTGACTCTTGGATCTTGCATTTTAATTCCAGGGCCGTGTTCTGCATCCTGAGCAGCACAGGGTGGTTAGTGTGAGGGAGTGTGCACGCTCTCAGGGATTCCCCGACACCTACCGTTTCTTTGGAAACATCCTGGACAAACACAGACAGGTAAAACCTTGACTTCATTTAAAACTTAATTGAAAATCAAGAGGAGTTGGGAGGGGTTTGTTTTCTTTGGTTCCAAGTTACAGCGGGTCCTGCATTACAAAACCTATAATCTGACAGTATCAATGTTTTGTTGGCTGGAAAATAATGACCAAATATTACTGCTGACATTGGGGAAGGTGTTGATATGTTGTGTTTTTCTTTACTCTTTTGGTTCACTCCCACAATTCTTGTAGAATTGTTTTTAGCAGCAGGAGAGCCACTATCAATACCCAAATTAAATGACAGACTATATAATAACTATCAAAATGTGACATGGCAATGCTGTGTTTATAGCTGATTTCTGGCCAGAAAAATATTGCAGGATTAAACACTTTATAATATATTCCAAAATGGTTTCTCTATAAAATTGAAAAGGACATTGAAGTTGAAATGACACTTAGCATTTGTAAACTATCAACTTTGTGCTGTCACGTCATGTAATTGTTGCTGCCTCTCAGGTTGGAAATGCGGTGCCCCCTCCACTCTCCAGGGCCATCGGCCTGGAGATTAAGAAGTGTGTCATGGAGAGAATGAAGGAAGAACAAGCATCAGGTAACTAATTTGTCTCAATTTTATCTTTTTGTTTTCCCGATGGACTTTCATCATTTGAATATGCAGGAATCCTTGTACAAATGTTTTTTTTCCCTCCACAGAGAACATCAAACAGGAGAAGATGGAGGTCTGATGAGTCCCTCGTTACCTTCCCAGCAAGAATCGGTTCCACAAATCCCGATGTTGTCGGGAAATTTCTTTTAAATAAGCTGGCTTTCAACTGTCACTAAGTGGCCACCATGGACATTCTGTGCAGTACCGTTCCATGTTTTAAATGTGCTTTTAATCATGTTGTTGGGAAATGTTCACTTAATGTGGGATAAATTGTATGTAGTTTTTTATATGTAATATTTCAAATAAAGCTCTTATGAAATCGATTTTAACTTATGAATTTAATTATAATGAAACTAGGCAGTCAAGGAAGTGATGTTAATGAGGCTGGTATCCATCTCAGCCATATTCAGGCTAAATTGATGTAATCACACTAGTGTATCAGAATGCAGCTAAACATCTCACTAACCACTTTTTGTGGGACAACTGCAAATTTATAGGTAACCCAAAGTGGACTTTGTATACTAAGTCTTTCAATGTCTACTATGGCAGCTTAAATGGCTCCTATATTGTACCACTGTTTCATGTCTTCTGAATTAATGTAAACTATGATTTGAGAATATAAAGCCATACATCTTATCACTTCAGTTTGAATGTTCAGAAAAATCTACCAATGAATAGTGATAAATCAGGTTAAATTATTTATGTGCCAGGGGTTCAAAAATGCAAACTAGCACCTCAAAGTAGTTTGATCAGAATTAAATGCTCCTCTTGCATTTGTCTGAGGGGTGATGTTTGTAGCCTGAGGTGGGAGATGAGTTATATGGCTCTCTGTTACATGTGTGCAGATTACGCAGAAAGTTTAAACATTAAAAAAGCAGTATTTCTTTTTCTGTAACTTGAAAGTCACTGCCCTTCCAGAAGGAGGTGGGTGTTATCTTCTCTGCTACATTTGAATTCAGCAGCCCACTACTTCACCCTCCCCTATTGTTGCCACCATGTCCTCATGGACTTCCTTGGGTGATAAGCCCTTGAGACCGAGGTGGCGGATGAATGCATGAAGGCCGATAGTGTCCATTCTCAGATAGTGCCGACTTGTACTTTTCATTTACCCAGAACAGGAATACCACAAAAGTTACTGACTTCAAACTTTCTTCATAATCACTCATAGTTGGACTACATATGTATGTAACAAGAGCAGTATAACTCATCTACCTGAAGCTACTAACCTATCAATCAGCCATTGTGTGTAGCTCTGCTTCTGATCTGAAAGGAGTTTATACGTCTAGCTTTAAGGCATTGACTAACTTCAATAGACATTAAGAACTGAAGTTTAAGTCGGAGTAAAAGTTGTGTGAAAGTATGAAATCTCTGCCAACTACAAGGAAAATAACGGAAATTGTGATAACAATTATTCTCTTTATTAGGTAACAGCCATATTTTACCACAACAATAAAATCTGGCATCTTGGAATATATTCTGATGGATTCCTCAGTTGTTTGACGGTCTGCAAAGAGTTAAATAAGGTTAGCAGCAAGAAAAAATAACATGCTTTAACACTTTCTTGACAAAACTGAATAAACTTACTTGGCCCATTCAACATTGAGAATAAGATGATCATATCCGAATCCTGACACTCCTGCAATAGCTCTGGCTGCATCCTCCCGACGATGGAAGCTGATAAAGGCAAAGCCCTGGAGGAAAACAAAGTGAGTAGTTGATGGATGAGACAGCTGGACCCATGATGTGTTGTGTCAATGTCAATTGTAGGAAAAAAAAAAAAAAGCTACAGTCAATATATTGTCTACATCTAGTTACACTTCTGTAGGAATAGCAAATGATGCTGAAACACCTGCTTTAATAATTCATCTCTTCTTGGCTTCTTTCTTTCTTTTTTGAGTTTTTTTTTTTATGCCTTTAACATTGAATGTGTATCTCTTTTATATTGTGAAGATGTGCACTGACCTTTGACTGCCCGGTGTTCTTGTCCTTGGCCAGATAGATCCTCGAGATGGAACCAAATGGTCTGAAGAGCTCCTGCAAGTCTGTCTCACGGGTGTCCTCGGACAGGTTGGTCACACGGATGGTGGCATTGTCATCAGCTGTCAGGTGATATACAGTTGTTCATACTTTCTGCTGTACAATGATTCAAGAACAGAGTGGATGCGTACAGCCAGCAGGTAACACAACATACACCCACCTCTGCGGTTAGGCTGCATGGACTCCCCTCTTCGCGTGCCTCCATCCCTCAGGCTCGGAGGCACATACTTCCCAGTCTTGCTCTGCGCAGGCTGTGCAGGCTCTGGTTCCGCTGGTTAAAGAGAGAAAAAGCAAGCATCATTCGTCATGACAATTTAAAGAACAACAAGCTGCCAAGCATAACAGCAGACCACAGACACAAATCAGAAATTAATAATGTGAATGGTGAGCTGACGGTACCAGAGCCAGCAGGCTTGTCCTTGTCGCCGGTTGAAAGCCCAAGCTGCTCAGCCAGCTCCTTCTGCATGGGGCCCAGGGTGTCTTTGTAGGGACAGCGGGTGGTCCAATGGTCTCCTTTGCAAATACGGCAAGACACAATCTTCTGTCCTTTCAATTTATTCATGGGATCCTCATCCTGGTCTTGGGCGTTCAAGTCCTGCAAGAGGTAAGATAAGGCACTCAGTCACAAGGTAAACCCAGTAAATTACAGACAAATACCACAGTTAAAGACATAATGTGGACTGACAGCCTAGACATCACTGAACAGCAACAAAAAAAATTGTGGAAGCTCACTGGATCCTTACCTCTTTGCTGGAAATGAAAGTCATGAAGACATCATCACTGACTGTGGTGGTGGCAACATTAGGGCCTGGTGCATCAAACTCAGAGTTACCAAATTTCTTCCAGTTCTGAAATGAGGAAAAAATAAAATACATGACACCCGTCTTTATCCAGAGTTTTGTTCTTTTTCAAGTAAATGCAACTTCAACTACATTCAGCTTCAAAGCAGACCTTTCTCCTGGCCACAGCTTTTGAGGCTTTTCGTGTCTCGATCTTGAAGGTCCGCACAATCTAGAAGATAAAAAGGCAGTAAATGCATAGTTAAGTTTTATTTCACAGAGGCAAAGTGTTTTGCTTAATGTAGGCACTTACAAACCACTGTGGCACCATATAACATGCAGAAATGCCATGACCCAATACAATCTATCCTATTTTGAACTAAACCACAAAAGTCTTAAGTTTCTGAAGATATATATTGGAGTGTAAATCAACAAAGAAAAAAAGTATGATGTTTAATGGAGGTTTAGTCCTGGAAGATCAGAACACCTCTCTACCTTAATGTTGGTCTCATTGCACAGGTATATGCTCCCTAACATTTAAGATGCACCCATGAAATGCAGCTAAATACAAACAAGCACTGTTTATAGATGTAAACAGATGCAACAAATGCCTTAATAAAAGTCAAACTACCTTGAACTTCTTTCCGTCGTCATCTATTTTATATTCCGTGACTGTTTTTATATTTCCTTTGATGGTTTCCTTGGGGGACGGTAGTGTGCCTGTTAAGAAGAACATCCAGTTAAGTCAGTCACATAAGACCTAAACAAAGATATCACAAAGGCAGAGACACTGCTATTCCTACCGTATTCCTCGAGGCTTTTGTTTTGCTGGTCTGCTATACAACAAACATCCACAGAAAATGTTCAACCAAAGATGATAATGGTGACAAAAGACATTTTCCAGTATTAAATTCGAATAGATATAAGTTCATTTGGCCATTATTCCCTAAATACTCTAGGCTGGACAGGCTGTGTCTCATCTTTTGAACACATCTCCAGCTCTGAAATGCAGCCAAGTGACAATGTGTACATGTGTGACGACAGAAATATTTCAATTTCCAATTACAAACTTAGCTATGCAGCATATAACGTTAAAATCTAACTAACGCCAGTGACATAGATAACGTGTTAGCGCTAGGCTTGCTAATGCGTAGCTGTCTCTAACTGACAGCCTACGTCACTATCCAAAGGACGATCACACATTTCGTCAAGAAATCGTCAATTAATGTCAGTTATTCAAACGTCTTTAAAAGACTGAGTGTCATATACATGCCAGGCAATGTATATATTGGCTCAAATTTTACGCCCGGCAACCACGTGGACGTGGAACCCGCCTAGCCGGCCTCCTCCTCCGGGCTCCAGACTACAAGAGATGTGCTAGCGTTGGCTAACTCGGCTAACTCGGCTAACTCGCTCTTTACCTTCATCTCCTTCCTCTTCGACCTGGTCTGCCCAGCTGGGCTTGGAGCTGTGGGAGAGAGGTTGATATGCAATATTAGATCGATAAAATACTTCCAGTGTGAGCAGATATTATTAAAAGTTTCTGATAACACTCACTCGTCGTATTCGATCGACGGCATCCTTTCGGCTAGCTTAGCTTCAGGACCGCAAAGAGCGGAGCATTACGAGCCGAGCCGAGCCAACACTACACCCGCTTCCGGGAGTTTAACTTCGCAATAAAAGTACCACGTTTGTTTATCGTTTAGCTTCACAATAAGAGTCCTGCATTCTGTTACTAAAGGTTCAAAGAATATTTCATGGGTGGGACTGATAGCAATGTGAAAACATAAATAATATATTCGCTTAATATTGAGATTAAAATATCATCAATCACATAATCAGAGAGTTTCAACGTTGGACTCCTGGCAAAGCAGCACCCCAGGTTTAGGTCATATCATTCAGATGTGCATGATTTGATTGATTACAAAGTTAGAACTTTGTACCTAAAGTACAATATCAGCTAGACAAAATCTAATTTTATGACCATAATTGTTTTTAGTTTACACAGGGTTCATTAGAATTAAAGTTGTGTTATATCCATTGCTTTAATTTGTTTGTTTCTGTCAAGTAATTAATACACAGAAGACCTTGTATTATTCCATCATAGCAGTACCATAAGGCTGCAACCAACAACTATTTTTACTACCAATACTCTGACAATAATTCTCTTTAATAATTGATTGATTGTTTGAATAATTTTATCATCTTTTTTTGCTTTTCTTGTTAAATTAAGTATGTAAATATCTACAGGATCAGACAGGAAGTTGATCAAGAAGATGATAATAAAATGTGTTTAAAATTGAAATCAGACACATTATAGCAACAAAGACATTTTTATTAGACATTATGTTTCGTAGTTAATAATACAATATACTTTAACTTTTGACAATATCAAAAACAACTCAAGAATTTAGAGCAGAAAGAATATCTGTGTATATCTGTGTATATCTGTGTAGATTAAAAATTTTTCAACATGCAATAAGGATGTGCTTGACAGAAAAGGTTTCATACAGTAGCTCTACTTCATCACTACACCACCGTTTTCCTCTGGGCTCTTCCCACAACAAGCTACTCTTATACTGTCAAACAAAGCCATGTAAAGGATTGGGTGGATACACATGTTCAGACTTGCCAGTCCCTTGGACACCTGGTACATGTTGTAGGTCCAACAGGCAGAGTTTGTTGGATCTTTGATTCTCAGATACAGGTGATAGGTCTGAAAGATGTGGTAAGGCACAAAGGAAACAGCATATAACACAAGAACTGATGTGACCAGCAGAGCTACCTTGCGTTTCTCCAGCGTGGTTATACTGACATTTCTCCACACCACCCAAATTACCATACAGTAAGAAGTGAAAGTCACCAGAAAGGGAACAAAACATCCAAACACAGACAGAAACACTTTGTAAATGAAGTGAGGGTTTTCTGTCTCATCAGAGAAGGACACACACATAGTGTTATTAGCAGGATTATTTGGCTTAATGGTGGCAAATTTCAACACAGGGCAGGAAATGACTCCCACGATGATCCAGATGATGACACTGATGATTTTGGCATGGGCAGGCTCTATGTAGGATCGGGTAAAGAATGGACACATGAGGGCCACACATCGGTTTACACTTATCGCCATGATGAAGAAGATGCTCACATACAGGTTGCAGGTGAAAAGAAACTTCTCGATTTTACATGCAGTGACACCAAAAGTCCAATCTTTCTCCATTTTGTAGTAGACAACAAGCAGAGGCAGGGTCAGGACATACAGCAGGTCACTGATGGCCAGGTTACAAGACAGCACAACACCAGTGTGCCAGTTTCTTCTCTCTCTGACCACCAGTAGCCACAGGGCAAACAGGTTTCCTGCCAGGGCCACGATGAACTCAATCCCAAACAGTGGGGGCAGCAGGGCTATTTGAAACTTCTCACAGTGGGAGAAATTGTTCACCATCTTGCTTTCAGTAGACATTTAGTTATCAAGCTGCTTTCATACAGTTTGTGCTGTGCAGTATCTGTAAATGGAAGTATGTGAGTTCATTGCACTTCATCTAGATCACATCACTTCATATTAGATTTCTATGGTTACTTTTAAACATAGCCTGTACACTTATATAATGTTAACTTGTTAGAAAATGTTACATAAAAAAAAAAAAAACCAAACGTTATTACATAACTAGAAAATGTTGCCTCCACTTACCGAATAGCAGATTTTGCAGTGCACTGTAGTGTGAGAAAGAAACTTCAAGTGTTCATTTCCGGTGTGTTATCTGTTCTAAAAGCCTGCTCAAGATTCTCACCTATCAATGTGACCTCAGCTGATATATGCGAATGAGATGTGAAGCGCACAAACTCCTTAGTTCCCCTTACCCACTGCAGAAATTTCGCAATTTGAAGAAGCAAACTCTGATGACACTAATGTCGTGCATTTGCAAAACAACGTGTGCATAAATAGCCTACACTTTCAGCGGTTATCATAGGCCAGGCTGCGTGAGACATGGTCAAGTGTGTTAATATGTGAGAGGTGTTATAAGACCTCTCACATATTCCGACCTTCTGGCTGTAGCCAGAAGGTCGGAAACAGCCGCCACTGTAATGGTTTGAGGTTCTACACCAGGCTATATTTAGGCGGGCATCTCAAACCTCCACTTCCTCATAAGTATTGCGTACAGAAGTGAATATGCAGAATACTGAAATACAAAAATTGCACACGTTACTATCACACTTTTGACCGTATAGGAACTTTGTGTGTGTGTGTGTGTGTGTGTGTGTGTGGGCATATCTTTATATCGGTGTTTCTGTCTTGGGTTTTCTGACAAACCACAGTCTAATCTTTGTAATCTCTTATCTCCATCAATCATGTCCGCTCGCAGCAAAAAAGAAAAAAAAAGTTATTTTTCTGTAAATAACGGAAATATATTTGATAATATAATAATATATAGATATTCACGTAAACACAAATCCTTTGGTTTAATAACAGTACAAGTGATAAAGACTTACATTTTGTGCTTTGTCTGTAGCTTTTAAATCTGGTCAAACTGCTCAGATCCGTTCCTCTGGATGTTTAGTTGACAAAAGTCAACTAACTTCAATAATTCAATAACATTACCCGTCATTTTATTTTTAACACTATTACCATTGAAATTCTAGCCTTTCCTGTACCGTTTTAGTTCTTATCTAATTATTTAATACTGGAACCTGTGTTTTTATTGCTACTTAAAACTTAATCCTTCCGTGAAGACACTGCTGAAGAACAGATAAGGAACATTTGCAAGTTACAATCATACTTACCAGGTTCTTACTTTCCCCATGTACATCATCTTGAACAATCGACCATCTATAATGAAGGCACCTGTTGACATCACAATAAAAGACACATTAAAGACAAAGATGTGGGTTTGTTGATAAGAACATGTGTACATTAAAATACAAACGGATAAAGAACCAACAAAAAAAAAAAAAGATGACCTATATGCAGAAATTTTTTTTTTTTTTTGATGATGTGGTTTTTGCTGAGGTCCATACCGCACAGGCATGTTCTCTGACATCTGGTTAATGATTCTTTGGCTGGGACATCCCTGTAGCACCACAACGCCTCATCTATGCTATGTTGTGACACATTTTACTTGGCTATATTGTGATTGATATTTCAATGAATTGTTCAATTCTATTTCGTGGTTCTGGTTAATTACAGATAAAGAAAGGAAAGTTATAAACGAAAGAACAAAAGACACCCTGAAATTAGCTCATCAATCCCATGAGTGAACTGGCTCCCTGAAAAAGAATAAAATCATGCATGAAGTTGACAAGAGAATCTTTTTTAACAATTTATTAAAACAAGTACATTTTCAACATTTAAATCATAGTGTGAAAATAAAGAACTTTCTTCTATACTGATTTTCAGCAACAAACAGTCTCAAAAACAACCATCACCGGTGGCTGACGCCTTCACAGGCTGAGGCACTGATGGCAAATGGATGCTTGCTGCCATTCTGGCGCTTCAGCGCAATAACACATTCAGTGTCCGAGTCCAGAGAGAAGGGCAAGTTCAACCTTTTCCCTTCCTCTGTTTGAATCCTTGCTTCGCTCCAGCACCTTTCTTGAAGCCCGGCTTGCCTTTCTGACCTTTAGATTTGAATGTTTTGTCCTTATTTTTCTTTCCACCAAATGTTTTTTTCCCTTCAAATTTCTTCTTCCCACCAAATTTATTTTCTCTATCGCCAGGTTTCTTGCCTCTGAATGTCTTTCCTCCAGGATTCATTTTCTTTCCAAATGCTTTCTCCCTGTCCCCGGATTTCTTCCATCCTTTTCCCATGTTGTCTCTGTGCTGTCCTCCTGGACCGTTTCTCTTTGGCGATTTAGCATCACTGTCTTTTCTCGATGATTTACCAGAGGACAGCTTCCTCTTCTTGGCAGGTCCGTGAGACTTTTCTGAGCTCCGCCTCTTCTTGGCACTAGGGAACATGTCTGTACAAAAAAAACAAACAAAAAAAAAACAGTCTTGGTCAACAAATACATTCAAAACAAGATCTGTGGGCTAATGTTTTATAGTTCGCTAGTTTTATTCACCTTCATCTGGCTCCAGTCCTACAGCCTGTCTGTAGTACTCCACCTCATCATCAGATTCAGCGGCAACTTCCTGATCGTCCTGCATGCCGGGATCCTCCACCTCACTGTCCTCTTCAGCTTCAGCATGTTTCCGCTTAATGCCCTCCAGGCTGTTTTTCCTGTTAGAAGAGGGGGGGGAGATGGTTTACACTTCGACCAAGTGAAACATTGATATGGCGGAGGAGTTCAATCATCTTTAAGGCCAGCTTACTTGTGCTCTTCTCGTTTCTCTTTTTTCTGAGCAACATTCTGCGCCTGCTTTTTCCGCCGATCCTCCTTCTCCTTTAACTGAGCCTCCTTCCTGTTCAGGATCTCCTGTATTTCCTCCTCTGTCTTTGAGACTGCAAATGTAGCATACAACAAAACTCCCATTAAAGAGCAGTTTGTGCCAGGTGTAGACAGAGCCAGGTAAGCTCAAGATGTATCAGTAAGCGTTTACTTTTAGAGAGAAATCATAAAAATCATACTCATTTTGTCATCATGTACACCTGAGCAGCAAGTTCAAAGATGACTGAACGCTGAATGACTCACCGAGAGCATGATAAAGGACGTTCCCTTCTCCCATGCCTTCCTGGATCTTCGTCAGCTGCAGAGTCATGCGAGGACCAATCTGAGGAGACCAAGATGCAAAATTCGGCTTCCATCCAAGCAGCATCGAAATATCGTTTTTAAAAGCAACGCTCCCTCTGCAATACTCACCTCGGTCAAACGAACCGCACTCTGTTGGGATGCCATGTTGCCTCTCCCAGAGTAGACCTGCGGCAGCTCGGTGATGTTGTGCTCCCCATCTTGCTCTGCTTCACTTTCTGAGAGGTTCGCCCCTCTGAGAGCGGTTAGAAGAGCACAAAGCGGTTAAGACACAACCCCACATCCACAGTTCTGCAGATGTTAGCACAGCTACGGACTGGACGTGTGGCGCCCTTCGTCCTCGGGACCACAAGAATTATACCTTCTCAAGAACCTTACTTCATCAGCAGCTCACTGATGTCCTCAAACTTGCTCATGTTGGGGAACTTCTCCTGCATCAGCTTCTTGACTCCACGGCTCATGCCGACGGGGACGACCTTCAGACTGCTGCAGGTTGGGAACAACATCATTTGGGTCACTTTGACATCTAATCAATAAATTGCAGAAATCTGGTTATCGTGTGGAGGCCCATCAGTGCGTTTACTTTGAACATACATCACTGAACAGTCAAGTTGTGATTTGTCATCATCTGAGCCCAACCAGCATTACACCCATGTAGAGTGGGGTGATTTGGCCTGAATATCCATTTCTTCAATCTTATAGTCAATCTACCACTCAAATAGTTTGGTTTAAAAACTAGGAAATACTGCAACAACAATTCTAATACTTGAAAACACTGAGAAAACAATGATACTTTAACATTTCTGACAAAAAAAAAATGTACTTACTAATGTCGAAATTCTATCTCCTGAGACGCTGGGTTGTAATTCAGCAGCACACACCTCTTGATGTTGTTGAGGCTTACCTGAGAAAATAAAAATCCACATTGATCACTAGAACTCAGACTTAATTTTCAAAATGCTGAATCGTTCGAGCCTTAAAAAGTCAGAAAGCGTTTACTTTTGACAAATCTTCAGGGGAAGTCAGAAGACTATACTTTCATCATGCCAACAAGGCTTTAAACCTCAAGTCTCTCAAATGACAGTGATGCAACAGTTAGGCTGGCAAAAACATACCTTCTGCACATTAATGGAAGGAAACATGTTTTGGAACATGGTGGCCATGAGTTTTATGTGCATGCCATCAGATCCAAAGTTATTGAGGATGAGTAGTGGATGATGTGTGAACTGCTGCTCGTGCATCCTGTGCTTCTTCAGAGATGAAACCACATCTTTGATGAGCGAGTACTGAGGAAAAAAAAAAAAGTTAAGAGTCCTTATAAAAGTGAAAAAAAGGTAAGAGTTAAAAACGACTTTGGCAATTTGGGCACATCAGTGCGTTTACTTTGAAAAACATCACTTGACAGTCAAATATTAAAATGTCATCATCTGGGCCCATCTGTCTATTGTACTCATGTTTTATTTCTGAGTTCTTTCAGTATTTACCTTGAGGACTCTGAAATGAAGCATGGGACCTTTGGGAAGTCGAGCAAGTCTCTGAAAGAACAAAAAAATGCGTTGTTATATGGGTAAAGGTACAAGCTTGAGGAGGAAAAAAAAGTCCTCCAACAACTGTTTCTTTATGCTCTGCTGTGATCTCACCATGTTGATACTGCTGGTGGTCTTGCTGAAGATCATGAAGTGTGTCACTCCCAGTGGTCCTGCAATGGCCACAAAGTCTTTCAGCACATTCTTTTTCTTAACCTGATAGGGGAAAAAAAGAGGAAAAAACAGTTCAGTCAGACACAGTAAGTGTGAAACAACATGAGGCAAAAACACTTTGATACGAGGACATCTCAGGTGAACCTTAATATTACAGTCGAAACATTAAGCATATATTGCACAACAATGCCACTCAAGTATACAAATCAATCTTTCTCCGTGAAATACAGCACTGTGACGTCTTCCACTTCTGCCACGACTTGAGGTTGTGTACTGCTTAAACAGGCGGACAGACGGACCTTCAGAGACTCTGCGGTGTAGGGCTCCATGACTCTCCGCACGTCCAGGATCAGCTGACCCACGTTTTTCCCGATCTGACCCCGATGAAAGACGAAGGAGTGGGGCACAGCTCCGTAGATCTGCTCGGCCACATGGTTGGCTGTTGCTCGGGATTTCTTCTGGTTCTTGGTCTGAAGGCAAGACATCCACATATTAATGAATTATCAATATAAATATGTGTGAAATCGGGCGAATTCCTGAGTGAGCTTATTTTGTAAAAAAAAAACAAAACAAAAAAACCCACAAAAAAACCGACATATGCTATACGTTAACTTAGCTAACAAAATAGTCAATTTTAAATGATCGCAACCAGCTTTACTAGTGTCATCACATATTTACCACCAAATACAACTTATTTAATGTTAGCTACATTTTCACCTAGGAACGACGATTAAATAGCCTGTTCAGTATTATAAGCTAAGGCTAATCTGTTAGCCCAGACCGTTACGTACCTTTGATTTCCCCATGATTCAGCGCGGGTGTAGAGAAGGTGAACAAATCAACATTAAATGTTACTACACTATATTATTCTGCAAAGAGAAATAACGTTCATAATGACGGCAAACGTGTGTCTACAACAGCTCAAGTACAGATCCAACCCGACACCCTGCACATGGTTCTTTCACTGTGTGTCACACTAATATGTCCGTGTTTCTCACATGTCTGGTAGTAGTTCCTAGCTCATCCGGATATACCTTCTTCTTCTTCTTCTTCTTCCTCTTCTTCCTCTTCAATGACGTTTAACGGCAGCTGGCACCCAACTAGTTACATTACTGCCATCTTTCAGAATCTGTGAGCTCCTACAATGTCCGGTCTACTAAATCTTTTCTGACAGTCCTGTTGAAGCATCTTCTCCCCTGTTTACTTGAAGCCCACTCCGTTATTCCTCATCTGTCCTCCTGTGATCTCCAATCTTTCAGTTTCCTCCATCATACCCTGCCTTTCTGATGTGTATCTATTGCCTTTGGTGAGGAGATGTTCTACAGTTTCTGGTGCCTGATATTTCTCACAGAGAGCGATTAGATCTTTCTCTATCACATGAAGTGTGCTTTGCAGGTTGCTGTGTCCTATTCTTAATCTTGATATTATGACCTCTTCTCTCTCCTTTTAATCAACTTTCCTCATTTCCCTGTCTAAACGGAGGGTCAACAGGAAGGGGCCAAACACAAGGTAACAACTTTCCCCGTTGTTTGGCACGGTTACACACACATTAAAATGTAGTCATACAAACTTCATTTAATTTAATTTATTTATGTATTTTACAAATCCCTGCTGTGTGATCAACCATTGTTTACACTCACAATAGTGGGAGATCCCAAAGTTTCCAATAACACTGAATGCGACATATAACAGTGGATTTTTATGTCATCTATGCCCTGTCAGTCTTAAGTCCACTGGTCTGCATTGATACCCCCAGCTGGTTGCATCTCTGCTGTAACTACCAGACTCCTGTCTCTTTGCATCTTATCACTTATTGTATTCTTTAAATCTTACCTCTGGTCATTTCTATTGAGTTGCATTGGTATTGCTTTCAAATAAATGAACTGTATGTTTATGAATGTTGTGATTATCATTTATTGGTAACTTGAGCTTCGTGCATAGCTGCTGTTGGACTTTTACTTGCAGTTTACCTTCACCTATCGCTGCAGTTTGGGGATTTTTGCAGCATGTCACGTGCCACATTTTGCTCGTTCAGCTCATCTGTTGTCCTCTGAATTAAAGTGTCAGGGTTGTGTTGTCTAGCATTCAAAACAAGTGTACTAGCTGATCACTTTCTATTTTACTTGTAATTACACCAGATACCATAGATCATGTGGTAATAAACAGGAATTTACAGGCATGTAAAATAAATTGTTAGCAGTTTTTCATTTAGCATATGTGGATTTGGTGCCAGCATAAACTATTGTTAAAATTAGATTAACTAAAAAAAACCAGAACAAACAACCAAAAAAACCCAGCATAGAAATATATGATTAAATAAGATATCTGATTAATGATATTCTTAATATAATGACTTCCACAAATACAAGAACAAATGCAGCATTTTCTTCCTAATTGGAATACTTTTATGCAAATTGTGCACTTTGATGATCACTTTTTTGTAAGTTTGTTAAACTGTAAAATAAACAGAAAACAAATCTTAGTGATGGAGAAACAATGGAAAAAATAACTATACATCTGAGGTGTCGTTACAACTCAGACCTGTTCAGTAAAGGCCACACTCGACATGGTTTCAATACAATCTGAGGGCTCACATTTTCAATGTAGCTCAGAAATTTAATGGAAAAACAGGATAAAACATGAATCCACACAAACAACAGGTCATAAATATTACTTAAATCATAAGTATACCCATGTTGTTTCAGTGTACGGCAGCATACTGTATACACTACAGTGCTACATCTTCTCCGAGGCAGCAGCGCTCTTCACTCCTGCAGCCATCACAGCGAAGAAAACATTAGGGAAGAAAGATCTGGCGTAGATGGCCACCTTGGGGAGCGAGGGAGCAATTACCACCTCTCTCCTCTTGTTGTTTAAAGTCTTGACGATCTCAGTGGTTGCCTCATCTGGAGAAACGCCGAGGGGCTTCTTAGTGTACAACACTGCGGAGACAGAGGTGAGGAGAGAAATAATAAGGCAAATAATACAGCTGTTATTTATTAACATTATCTCACCCTTAAACATAACCAGAGTTTCCACTTTATATATTCAGTATATATATGTATATATCTTTATGATGCCGTCTCATGAAGAATATTTATATGCCCTGCAAGGAAGATGACCTTCAGAATTTGGTGGCACCACAGTGTTAATTTGTATTTCTCATCTCTATATCCTCCTGGCCGACCATTTCAGTTTAATCAGTGATCACAAATTAAATCTGGGGCCTGATGGTCTGTGTGGTCACTATGTATTTATCCTCTCTGGACCATAAATATTCAAAGCAAAGTACTGAGAATGAGCGTCAAATCTGTCTGCTAATTTGTAATGAACCAAAGCATTCGAGGGAAAATTTGGTCCTGATAATGTTGCTGGACCAGAGGGCAAAATCAATCAATCAATCAGACTGGCCTGTAGCTGCAGAGACACTTCATGTTGCTAAATAACATGAGATTGTACTGCTGTCGGGTTTCCTCTGATTTCACTCACATGACCAGATGGATTTAGAGGAGGCTGCCTGTGTGTTGTCAGACGCAGAGCGACTGATGAAGGTGTGGTTGATGGTGCTGACGGATATTCCATATTCTTCCACCTCAGCTCTCAGGCAGTCAAAGAAGGCCTGAACCGCATGTTTGGAGGCTGCATCTGAAAAGGTAACACACCTCAATTCCCAACTCTGCACAGGTTTCAAATTTCAGATCTGACAAGCAAATGCAGCATCTTATACTACAGCCATCCACACCCCACCCCAACATTATTTGCCTGTATGAGCTCTGCTGATGTCCTGTTTGGGTGTACATTAGGATTTGTTTTCATTTTTTAAATTCATCACATATGCTACTCTAATCTTTATTGTATGTTTTTTGTATTACTGAATTTTCTAGTGTCCAAATAAACCCAATAACTCAAGTGTAACAGGCATGGATGGATTACTGAAGGGGCTTATAGGGCGCAGACCCAGAGACCTGAGAGGTCAAAGGGCCCCTTGTCTTCACTTGGGAATTATCTTAGGAAGACACTAAAAATCACCACAAAGAGAGACAAAACAACCACTAAGAGACACAAATCAAGCATCATACATAGGAGGGGTTGGGGGCCCCTGTACTTGTTTGTGCACAGGTGTCCATTATCTGTCCAGGAACAAGAGTAAGAGTCTACAGCAGTGCTTTGAGCTAAATGAACAAACTATGCATGTTTACCATCTTGTTTGGCATGTTAGCATGCTAACAAGCACTTGACACAAAAGTACAGATGAAAACGATGGGGATGTCATTAGTTTTGCAGACTTTTGGTCATAAATTAAAGTACTGGACAAATTATAATTAAAAAAAAATGTCCCCTGTGTTTCCCTTCATAAACCTTTAAACTCACATGTAGTGCGAAAAGGAATAGCTAGTTTCCCCTGAATGCTGTTGACCAGGAGCAGGTGACCAGTTCTCCTTGAGATCATGGAGGGCAGTACACCTGAGACAGAAAAGCAGCAAAAGAAATGTGACGGCACTATCATTCTTCTGCAGCTGGACGTCTAGTCCCATGTGTTTCCATCCTCTACCTTTAGCCAGTGTGACCGGTCCAAAGTAGTTGTTGTCCATCAGTAACTTGTCCATCTCCAGAGACAGACTCTGTGCAGGTGCTTTGACCTTCATGCTGCTGTTGAGGATGAGAACATCAAGGCAGCCGTAACAGTCCAGGATCTCTGCGATCACCTCAGGCATGCTTTCCATATCTCCGAAATCCAGCAGCACCAGCTTAGGAGGAAACGTCTGAGGAGGAGAAACAGTGATCGTAAGGAGGTCTACAGTGGTGGAAAGTACTTACGTTTACTTAAGTTTTCAGGTACTTTACTTGAGTATTTACTTTTTATGCTCCTTTGTATTTCTACTCCACTACATACTTACTACAGTGGGGTCTGAGGCGTTCGCCAAATCGTCAGCAAGTTCTTCAAGTTTTTCCCAGCTTTTCCCGCAGAGGATCAACCTCGCTCCTCCTTTGTGAAACACACCTGCGCATTCTTCATCAGCAAATCCAAAAGAAGTTTATAACAAGACAGAACAACTGTGAAATCAAATTAGGTTCAAAGATACAAGATGATTTTTTTTTTCATGAAACAGCAAAGTACGTTTATGTTACCTTTTCCAACCCCAGATAGAGCGTCAGTTATAACCACCACCTTGTTGCGTACTGATGTTTTTGACAACAGACCAATAATGAAATCATAGAGGTAGAAAAATCCAGCTGTCAGCACGACAACACAGGGCACCAGGAGCACAGTGGTGGTCCATGCTGGGTCCATCTCTTGGAAGATATGCTGAGAAAATATTATATTTCTATATTAAAAATGCAAAAGGGAATGTCTTTGTAAATGTTTACATTAAAACATGACAGGAAAAGTTCACTATTTTGGGAAATACACTTATTTGCTTTCCAATAATACTCTCATATCTGTCTATGAAGCTACAGCCAGCAGCCGCTCAGATTAGCTTAGCATAAAGATTGCAAACAGAGGGAAAAAGCTATCCTGGCTTCTACCAGCAATTCTAGAGCTCACTAGTTAACAGATTAAATATTATTTGTACAAAAATCAAAGTGTAAGGGGGTGGGTGGGGGGGTGGGGGGGTTGGGCCATTTCTTGGCCATTGTAGTTTTCACACTTAAGTTTTTGTACAAATTAAACAAGATAAGACATGATGTTAATTAGTGAGCTTGTGTTAGCTTCATATTTACCGTACAGATGTGACAGTGGTATCAATCTTCTTATCGAGTTTCGCTAAGAAAGCAAATAAGCTAATATTCCTTTAAAAAAAGGATAAACAAAAATCCTATAAACCACCAGTGTTGACATTACCATCATGAATGTTGTGGTTAGCTATAGGATTTTTGTTGTTAAAGCATGTTTAAGGATGTAAAAATACTCTTTAGATGGAAGATGATTTGATTTTTAAGCAGGTGAGATGGGATGGGATGTCAAAAACCATTTAAGGATCTAATGAACCATGTGATTTACAAGAAAAAGGAGCGTTTCATACCCAGAAGCTCTCCGGCTCTGTAACATTGGGATCCATCTCACCCTCTACAACCATTTTTAAATCTAGCTTTATTATACAACTCTGAAACAAAAACAGACAAGATATTTTTTAACGGTGTTCTTACATATGAAAGCAAAACGAAGAGTAAAGGGTAAATACCACATCATTAATGTCTCTCTGTGAGATTTGTGCCAACAAGATACAGTATACTTGGATATTTATATAGCCTACATATAAGATACACAGACAGTGTCTCATGAGGTACAAACACATTCACAAATGATAAAACTGAAACAAAGATTTGACTGAAAATCTGCCACTTAATTGGATCAAATATGATTGGTTCATCCTTCCTCCAGCACCCTCTTAGGCTAGTTTGGGTTATTTTGAGCTGCTCATTTTTGTAGTTTCTCCTGTAAAAACTGTGTCAGAAATCCAAGCATGTTCAGAAAAACACTATATGTATAAAGCATTTGGTTATTATAAGCTTTAAAATGTTAATTTTGAACTAGCTTTTAATCTCCAGATCTTAAATATTTTAGATAACTAAGACTTAGTAACTTTGTTTTGAAAAGTGCTGTATGAATTAACTATTACAAAGACACAAAACAACTCCAAAGAGATGCAAAACAACAACAACAAAAAAGATACAAGATGACAGCAAAGACATGCAAAACACCCACAGAAAGAAACACAAAATGACTACAAAAGACACAAAATAACTCAAAAGACAAGCAAAACAAATATTAAAAGACACAAAACAACCACAGAGAAAGTACAAAATGACAACAAAGAGACAAAATGACTAAAAGTATAATAACTACAGAGAGAGAGACACATAATACCTCAAAAGACGTGCAAAACAACTATCAAAATATGCAAAACGACCACAGAGAGACATGAAGTGCAGCCACGAGTATCTTTCTGTTTGGGGGGCTTTGCTCCTCTGTAGAAGGGGGGGGGGTCTTTTGTATTGTCTGTGCCCAGGGGCTCATTTCCTCATAATCTGTTCATGAACTCATTGCGTTTGAGTTACAGATTATCTTTCATAATCATTTGGCAGAGTCAAACTTTCCTTCACATAGAGCATTGTCTGTCAGAGCCTGCTGGACAGTGCTAGTTTTTGTCATCAGATTATAGATACCAGAGAGACAGAGGACAGTCACATGTTCTCGTTGTGTCCAGCAGGAAAATCTGAAGATGAACTTTGGGTTTAGGTTTACCATGCCAAGCACCAGCTGTTTGTCCAAGAGGAGCCTTCTAAATATAAACTGCCCTAGAAATAGATACTGTATCTCTCACAAAGGCTCAATGTCACAGAGTACTAGTCACATTATTCCACAACAAAGTCAAGACATCCATCAACACAAAGGAAATAACTTCACTTTTTATTTCATGCTGCAACTGTTCAGCACGGAATTAAAGATTAAATCAAAGTGTCAAAATCCTCCAGTTTGTTGCACAGTGTCTCTGCACTTTGCACAAGAACAGCAGTTCATTTCTGACTGACTGACCTCGATATTACAAGAAATGAAGTAGCAGCCAGCACTTACTGCTTCTGAGGCCTCTGCAGGTATCCTGGACTGGGGTTTAATTCCTCTCCTGAGGAGCTGTAGCTGCTCACCTCAGCAGCTCATTCACAGAGCTCCTCCGACATGAGAGCCAGCCGACCCGCCTGCCGCAGCAATACTCTGGGATTTGAGGTCTTTTAATAGCAGCACAGCTGAGTCAGTTATTTTCCATGCATGTTGTCAACATGATACGTTTAGAATGGAGGTGTTTGACTTGGCTGCCGTACAGCTTCCTTTAGGTCAAAGATATTGGCTAATAGATTATAGATAATAGAAACAAGCTTTACTGGAATCATGCACTGGCAAAGATGTTTGTATTAAGCGTTGAGTCTTGAGGGTGGGATGTGTGTGACCAAAATGCCCTTTAAAAGAATTCACTTTCAAAAATTGAAACAAAATGTGAATTTTTGCTTATTTTCCTGCTTAGTAAATTTAACATCTTTTTATTTTTGGTGGTGGCTGGTGCTCAACAACCAAACATTTTGTGTAATTTGGGCTTCAGGGAATAATAATGAGCATTTTTCACTTTTTTTCTGACATTTTATAGACAATCAATTGATTATTAACGAAAATAGCTGTCAGACTTATTAATGATGAAAATAATTGTCTGTCGCAGCCTCACAGTTCTCCTATGATGGATTAACACTTTGCCTGAGGTTTTCTGTGCGTTAATAACTTGACAAATAAGAAAAATATAAGCAGTTTGACAAAACACAAATATAAGACTGATGAGCTCAATATAAATTTAGAATTAATTTAGGTCTTAAAACCAGATTTCCACTCAACATGGAGGACGTAGAACCTGTAAGAGTTTATATTGTGTGTCAGTTGAACAAATTTCAAACAAATCTGCGTTTTTATCAAATCATTGTCGACCCAAATGATGTGGGGTGAACCTGGAGCATATGGGGGCTCCTGGGTCATTGATCCAGACTTGAGATGCTCCAGTTCCATCTTTGTCCCATAGTCTTTGTGCACAATACTAATACAAGGTAATTACAAATTGTGGCGTTGTAAATAACAGTAATATAAATGATTTTTTAATAAATAATAAAAAACCTGACTTGTTTTTGCATTTTTTTGTGCATCTTTAATTTCATGTTATTAAAGTTGTGTTCCCTTTATTTAAACTTACATTAAATACATTTAAAGTCGTTTCTTTTTAGTGTATGTTTAATATATCAACATAGTTATACAGTATACTGACAAAGTTCACTGTTGTAGGTGTGAGTGAATTAAAGATAATTTACTCTGCTTTCTGAAAATGGCAAAAAATTACGAAGAAGCAGGACACCTGATGAGACCCAGTCACTAGGGTTGTCCATGGGTGTGTGTGTGTGTTTGAGAGAGAGAGAGAGAGAGAGAGAGAGAGAGAGAGAGCGAGAGAGACAGACAGAGAAGAAATTAGAGGCTCGAAAAATCCTGTCTATAAAGTTATAAAAGTTGGAAAGGGTACCCGGATGTTGACATCATCACAATAAAAGCATAAAACGTGTCATGGCTGCAGGTCCTGTTATGCATCAAACCTTATGTAGGCTACTATGCACAAACTACAAAGCTACTATGCAGAAAATTTAGTCTGGTGGGTAATCGGTGTGTGTTTATGTGCAAATTCCTTTCTCTATTCTGCAAAGATTTTCAACAGGATCATCTTTTTAAGGCATTATACTTATTTATACTTTAATAACCTTTTTACTTGCAGTCTACTTTTTTTATGTAATATTTTTTTAACTCCTGTATCATTTCAGTTGGTATGAAGGTCTCAGCACTAGCTTACATCTGTTTATTTTATTTATGTATTTTTTAATTGCTTTTTATCATAGCTGTTTTTTGTTAGTATGATCTGTAACCTCTCTCGTGCAAAGTTGGATTACCAACATGGCAAAACAGGCAACTGCTCAGGTGCCCCAAAAGCCCCAGGTTTATTTCATATCTTTGGACCTTCACTGTTTTAGTTTATAATCTGGTCGTTTGTTGTGAAGCTATGTTTTATTAAACTGCTTTATTTTTTCTGTGTGTCAGTTAACACATAGCAAAATAATATTATAATATCGTAAGGGATGTTTAAGGCTGAAATTTACAATTACTTTCATTATCAGTGAATCTGGCAATATTTCTCTTTAATAATCAACAGATTGCTCAGTCAGAAAATAGAGAAAAGGCCCATCATGAAGCACAAATAATCATATTCAGATTGGTTGAGCTTTTATTTTGATGGTTCTAACCGGGTGTTGTGTGTTTATTGTGTGTACCTTAACTCCGGGAGAATTCTGTGGCTTTTTGCTGCACTGACAGCGGTCCTTCCAGGTTTATCGTTCCTTCTTCATACAAGCTAGACCTGCGATATTTTTACACAGCAACAGAACCGCTATAATGTCGGATTTCGAGGAATTTGAGAAGCAGCTGAGCGAGAATCGACAAGGTGAGTGTTAACGGTCTGTCTGTGTCCCAGTTTGGTCTGCAAGCTAGCAATGCAACGCTTGTGCGTAACGTCAGCTCCTCATATTATTTTATGAATGAATAACCGACCTGTCAGCAACTTTAACAAGCAGTTTTCTCCGCCATGACTCAGCTCGTTTACCTTTTTCATGTCAGCATAAAATCATTCTCTCCTCTTCATCCCCCAGCCTCCGTACAGTCGTTGCAAATTTAACACAATTCTGAATTGAGTCTGGGCACCGGTGTGAGAACACGGTTTACCTTCTGTCCAGTCTCCTGTGCGAGATGCACAACTCCATTTAATCTTGTAGTTTTTTCTAATCTCGTCCGCTTCTACAAGGATACACACGGGTGTAATTGATCTAATATGACATTTTCTGAATCACCATGATCTACTTTTTAATTCGGCATCAGTTACTAGAAAGGTTCTCAATCTTCAAGTCAGTCTTAAAACAGTTATCAGGTATCCATTTTTGTTTATCTGTCATATGCTCCGTGTTTTCTCGCTATTGTGACACATTGTTTTATTTCTTAGTCGATGATGATGATGATGATGATGATGATGATGATGATGATGATGATGATGATGATGATGATAAAGGTCATCGTCATTATCATTATTGTTATTGTTGTTGATTTATGATTATTGTTGTTTTATTGTTGGTGTCAGGGGGATAGCACAAATCAGTAGCAGGATGTATTTGTATTAATTTTGTTGCAACAATTAAACTACAGCTTCACATTTTTTCAAGCCTGTCTTAAAACAATAGCCAGGTGCCCATTAATTCCTTCTTTATTTTCAATGCAAGTGATGGGAGACAAATTGTACACATTTATTCCAAAGTTTATCCAAAGGCTGATATGAAAACAAAGTGTCACAATGCTTCACAGTTATGACAAAACACTGAACAGATGACAGTTAAATACAGCTCATTTAGATCTTAGTTGATGAATTAATGGATGTCATTTGACTGAAAACCAATATTGTGGTGATTGACAGTTAGTCATTTTAACCTTTTTAAGCAAAAATGCCAAACATTCCCTAATTTCAGCCTGTCCAGTGTGAGGATATCCTGCTGTTCTTTGTTTTATGTGATGAGAAACAGAATATTTTAAAATGTGATAGGAATTAGTGAAAAATGAGCAGCACAGACTTCTTCAAATGTCTTGTTTTGTCCAACTAACAGTTCAAAAATATTCAACTTAGAATATAAAAACAGAGATAAGCAGCAAATCCTTAGACTGGAGAAACTGGACCCAGCTGTTTGTCATTTTTGCTTGAATTATTATCAAACAACTAATCAATTATCAAGGTAGTTGCTAATTAATCAACTAATCGTTTCAACCCTATTTTGAGTAATTATAACGGTCTGTTGGTCAGACAAAAAAAAGCTAGATGCCGTCACCTTGGCCTTTAGGAAACTATGATGAGCATTTTTAAGACCAAACAACTTATCGTTCAATTGAGAAAATAATCATTGGTTGCAGCTAGAGCTGAAATAATTAGTTGATTCATCAATTAGGTGATTAACAACAATAATTCAGTAAGAATGTTGATAATCAAATAATCATTTAAGTCAATTAAAAAAAACTAAAATGCAGTGGTTCCACATTTTAAATGAATGATTTTCTTAGATTCCTGTAATAATAAACTAAATGTCTTTGGGTTTGGGGCTGTTGATCAGATAAAATAAGAAATCTGGAAAAAGAACAAAACTGTGATTTCTCAGTATCTTCTGCCATGTTATAGAGGAAATGATGAATTGATTAATCACGAAAATAATCAATCAATAATCAAGCTTAGCTTGTTAGTTGCAGCACTAATATGAAGTTTTAGAGTCTGAGGCGTCCCCTCCTTGGTCCACCTTAAATCAAAATGAGAGGATGATCTTAGTGAGAGGATCCTGGATGAAACCTGGAAATCATCCACTGAGATGATCCATACAACGTTCATATCCAGTTTAGTTTACATCTAGAAGTAGGCTTGTCCAACGTTATCCAGAATTTGATCCAACCTGTCAACGGTGTGACCATGCCGTAGTAACCTTATTCATTCCCTTTGAGTCTTCAAATGATGATTCAGTTTTGGGCCGGGGTCCTTAAAGCATTATTGTAACAAAGTCACAGACCCGGTTTTTGCTGCCGTTCATATTGATTTCAGTTGGAAATATAAACCCACCCCTCCATATAGCTACTGGGTTGATGAGGCAATGGTTCACCTGAAGTTGTAAAAGCTCAGTTATACCACTCACAGCTCAGGTGATGAATCCCACCAAGTATGGAAACCATTCTGTGACAATGTCTGCAGTACAAGAAATATAACCTAATGCCTGTAACTGATAAAACACAACCATGTATAATCACTGTATTTATTTCTTACTTATCTAATTAAATTTGTGTGTGTGTGTTTGTTTTGTTTTTGCTTTGTATTTTAATGGCCTGCATGTTTGTTTTGTTTTTGATCCCCCAGGGTGTGTGGTGGGTGGGATGTGGGCTTTGGAATAACATAGTAAGAGTTAGAAAAACCAATAAAAGCATCAGATTTTTAATTATTTATACGAAAAATGTTAATTGCCCATATTAAGTATCTGTATTCCAGTAATACAACATGGACTGGCATTTACCAGATAAATATACAGTAATTATTGGCAGACATATAGTAAATAATTCTCGTTGCTGTTTTTTTGCGATCACAGAGCGAGAAAGAGAGAGACACAAAAAGAGGAGTCGCAGTGGATCTGCAGGCCGAGGAGACAAACATCGCAGCTGGAGCAAAGACAGAGGGAGCCGCAGCCGAGAGAAACGTAGCCGGAGCAGAGACAGGAAGAGCCGGGACCGCCGGAGCTCCTCCCGGGATCACAAGAAGCACAGGTCAGTGGCTGAAAGCTGCCTCCTGCAGTCCAGCAGCAGAGTCCCAGTCAGCAGTCTGCTGCAGAGCAACGAGTTACAGCCACACCAGGCAGGATTTTAATGTGGAAATACACCTGTGTCATCATGAATCACACAGCGCGTCCATCCGTAATAGACGTTTTCCCTGCAGACTTGTCACAGTAGCAAAAACACTAGTACCATTAAACCTGTAATAACTAGTTTTGGTCACTTGGAGGCGGTGGAAACAATACAACGATGAACTATTATCACCTTTTAAATTCAGATAGTAAACTTTTTGCTTCATTTACACATCCAGCAGGTACAGAGCAACGTGATCATTCATTTGGAGTCATGCTTGTGTCCACTTGATGAATGTGAGTCCAATATTCCCTCTCTTTTAGCTCTGTTTTTGGTCTCCACCAGCTCCTGAGGGAAATATCTGGCTCTTTAGCTGCTAAATGCTCCACTATGTTCACCAGCTGCTCTCGAACAATCTGTCTGCTGTTTGGTGCTGAGCAGGATGTGGACAGTAATGTAGTGTGAATGTAAGCCCAATGTGACGTCTTCAAATGTCTTATTCTGTCCAACCAATTTCCAAAACTCAGAAATAATGAACTCACATTAAACGTAAAGTAAAGAAAAGCAGCAGATCTTCACATTGAGAAGCTGGAACCAGCTAACAGCATAACAACCAGAATAAATGGCTCATTTATTTCAGGTGTTTTTAATTGACTTTACATGGTGGGTCTTTGATGCATCTTAGTTGTCCTGTAGTTTCATATGGAAATTGTCCAATGAAAATAATAAATTGGCTGAATGTATGAGATTTTCCTCTCCTGCTTGAGCTTTTATTTTGTCCGTTTTATTTACCTAGTCACTCTCCGAGGCGAACAAGAAAGAAAAGGACCTGCAAATACTGGGATGTGCCTCCTCCTGGCTTTGAACACATCACACCAATGCAATATAAAGCTATGCAAGGTACCTCTCATGTTCCCTGTGCTTCTTCAGTCTCTGAGTCAGACTTCTTCAGAGCTACACCTACTGATTTTTCATTCAGGAGTTTGCATGTGTTAATGTTGTTGAGCTTGTGTGAAGACCTACACAAGGCTGTAGTTGCTTCTGGAAAGGGTCGAACCAGGTCAGAACTAAGACCAGGTTAGAGCGACCCAATGGTGGAGTGGATAGGGCACATAGTACCACATGGGGCGTAAAATTCGACTCCCTGGCTGAACCCTTTGCTGCATGTCATTCCCCTGCTCTCTATCCCTGTGTTTCCTGTCTCTCTTCACCGTCCGATCTAATAAAGGCATAAAAATGAAAAAGAAACTGAGACCAGGTCAATTCAAGAACTACTCCAGGTCAAGAACAACACTGGCAATCAACTGACCAGTTGCAACCATAACCATTAAAAAAAAAATTTTGGAGCAAAAACAAATGTCAAAATGGCGTGTGAAATATTAATTTGTCTACCATCAAAGATTTTAGCATTTATACTGTGGTATCTATTTAAATGTCCCAGCTAACCCGAGGTTACTGCATGAGGTGAAAGGGTCAGGTGAATGCTGATGTTGTAAAAACAACAGGAAGTTAGTTTTTTGTAGTTTGGACCTCTGACTTTGCTGGCTCATCAACACGCTCAGCAGTTGCAGCTGCAGCAGTGGCTCATGATATTAATATTCTTAGATTCATTGTGACTTACACTTTCTGAAGAAAGTACGTTTTTATGTTTTCTTCCATATCAAATGAATCCAGTGATAACTGCCTGTAGATCCGCAGGTACACTGCAAACAGGTGCTGCTAGTAGCTGATTCTGCATACTTTTAATGATGCCAATTTGTAAAAAAATGTAAGCAAAAAAAAAAACGGGGCTAAAGTCGCAGCGAAACAGTAACTCAGTGACTCTGGCAACATTATATCTGCTTTGTGTTTACATTCCCCAAAGCTCCCAAGTAACGGGAACCGTTTTCATCATCAGCCCCAAATAGAATTAAGAAAAAGAATAACAATAGAAGAATAAGAATGGAACTATTTCTACATTTTTTGATGTTATTGCGGCTGGCGGTGTCACATTGACATGGTTCTTACCTTCCTGAAACAATGAGACTTTCCTCTGTCCATTCATATACAGATATCTGCCATCTGCTGAAAACCTGTGGACATATGGGGATTGTGGGGGGCACAGTTTTGTCTGGAGGGAGGTCCGCAGTGTGAGACTTTTAAAAACCCCTGTATTAGACCATTGTGAGAAAATCAATGAGGTCCCCAATATGACAACATTTCATTTTTATGTAATTTTTGAGCCACTGTGACATTGATTTATCAGGTGTTTAATCTTCTGGATTAGCCACAAACAAACTGTCCTGTCTGGTTATTTTTATCCATGAACATCGCAATTGATTTTCCAGGATAATTAAACAATAAAATTAAAATCTTATCCATGCTACCCAACACTCATTTCCAGGATCTCTGAATATTGCATGTACTGTATGTGTAAGGAAGATGAAATGCACAGGTTTCTGGTCTTTCTCCTGGGGAGAAAACCTCAAGTAAATAAAAAATTTTTTTTTTTTAATATTTTAGTTAAGTTTGAAAAAAGTAGAGCCAGCATTCAGAAATAGTCAAATCCTGGACAAAACAGAGACCAACAAGTCAAGTCCTAAAACCGCTGTTGAGTTGTGGGCTTCAGGTTCCTGTCATCAGATTTTACTCTTTCATTATTAATTCAATTTTTACAGAAATTTCAGGGATCACATTAATGCTCACTTCATATGAATCACCTAGAAATGAGTCATTCCAAAAATATGTTATGAAATAAAGGGGCAAATGTTGCAGAGGCTAGTAGCTCTGTAGCTGAAGGTGAAGCTCTGTCTTTTATGTTCCCCTCAGCGGCCGGGCAAATACCAACAATAGCTCTGCTGGCAACATCCACCACGACTGGAGTGGCTGCAGCACCGACACAAGTGCCCATAGTTGGCAGTCAGATGACAAGACAAGCCAGACGCCTCTATGTTGGAAATATTCCCTTTGGAGTGACTGAGGTAAAGTCTCCAGTTACTCGTTTCTTTGTCCTCCAGTTTATTCCAATAAATGTGACATCTTTACCCGACACAGACATGTCCAGTGCGTCCAGTCCATGCTTTGTGTTTTCTTTCTCCACAGGAGTCCATGGCCGAGTTTTTTAATGCTCAGATGCGGCTTGCAGGCCTTTCACAAGCTCCAAGTAACCCTGTACTTGCTGTGCAGATTAATCAGGATAAAAACTTTGCTTTCCTAGAGGTATGTGTTTCTGATCCCGGTTCAGCCACTCCATGAGATTTTTGCTTCTGCAAATAAAAAGATGAGGCCGGCAGTTTTGTATATTTTGATTATTGTGGGAAAATCCCATGAAAAACAACATTGAATTTATCCTCCTAACAAATATTTTCTCTGTATCCAGAACCTGATTTAGCTCTCTAGTCTGTGCCATCGCGCTCCACTGTTGCCTTTCCATTTATTTTCTGTATGAGTAAAGATGTTTGTGTGCTGCGTTTGTGTTGCTTGGTAGATTTTTAGCCACGCTAGCAGCACGTTGCTGCCTTACTGAGCTTCTAGCAGCGCTGTAGACCCTTTGTCTTCTTTTGAGACAGTCTTGACCTCCCCAAGGTGAAAAAATAAAACATTGTCAGAGTCAATTTCAGTCTGCTGCCCGGACAGATCTGGGGCTACTGCAGTTATTTTTATAAAAAAACAAACATGACAGATGAGACGGAGCTGTGGGATTAAACGAGTAGCCCTAACCATGATGAAAACAGAAAAAGGCTTCAAGCAAACTCGTCTTGAAATTCTTGCTTTTTATCAAAGAGCAATAGGAGGACAGTACAAATGAACATTGAGGTTAACAGCAAAAGATGCAGATGTTTGTGTTGTTGTAATTAGCCAGGATTTAAAATGATGAGGGTAATAGAGTTTAATCATATAGCTCTTATCAAAACCAGAGATTACAAGGAACAAATGAAAGGAAAACATAAAACCCACATGTTGAATATTGTCTACATACACAAAACCAACCTGCAGACACACACACATACAGACAAGGTAAATTCATGATATGAACGTGTGACAGTAACAGGCCACTGTAAGATTTGCTGCATACCTGTTGATGCTGCAAAGTCATTTTCCTCCTTCATCATCATGTTGCTGTGAGCAAACATTGCAGCAGAAGTCTCAAAGTGTTTTTTTTTCTTTTCTAGTTTCGGTCTGTAGATGAGACGACGCAGGCCATGGCCTTCGATGGAATCATTTTCCAGGGTCAGTCGCTGAAGATTAGAAGACCTCATGACTACCGACCTCTGCCCGGTATCTCAGAGCAGCCAGCTTTCCACGTCCCAGGTTCATTACTGATGGTTCTTTTTTTAGCCTTAAAACAACAAGCTCTACTATGTAATTCATTCATTTTGATTTGAGAAACTTTGATTGAACCATTTTATTTTTCATTTTTGTGTAGGTGTCGTCTCCACCGTCGTTCCGGATTCCCCCCATAAACTGTTCATAGGAGGCCTGCCAAACTATCTTAATGATGACCAGGTATTTAACTGAGAACAGACTGAACAGGTGCACTCATGTTTCCTCAAGTTTTTTCTCTCACTTGCTGAGGTTTTTGTTACACTGAAACACAGAAGTCAAAAATAGCTTGAAGTGAATGACCCCACAGTATTGCAAAAAAAGATAAAACACAATTAAAGTTGACAGAAACACAGTATAGGGGAAAGATAAACAGGTTAATATTTAATGACCTGATATTTTAAAGTACTCACAATGAACAACTTCTACACATAATTGGCTTTTTTTTCAAAAGAAATGTCTGTAGCACAAGCTTTTATTTTTTTATGCTATACTTATGCTCTCGTTAATTCTATATGAATATTATAAGAAGACTTTTTGTGACTTGGCTAAGTAAACTGCTTATACCTTTCTCATGTTAAGCGTACTCATTTAGGAAAGGTAAGCAATGTCCAGTATATTTACATAAGAGACATGCAGTAATTTCTGTGTGGTATTTAGGCCTGAATGTTGGATTGTCAAAGGAAAAGTCCACCTGCTAAAAACATTACTGGTGATGTGTTTGTGTTCTAGATTTTTTAACGTGACTTTGGGCAGGAAACGTTAACCATGGATGGTGAAATGGTTTTGGTGTCAGTGCCTCAGATGTACAGAGTAAAAGCATTTTTATGGACACACAGTTGTTCACGTTTCTCAGTCACTGAAGGTGAAATAAATCATAGTGCAGGATGCTAACTAGACCAGGATCCTTCCATTACAACAGAGGTTTTATTTTGAATAGTGTTTGTGGCTGTGTTTAAAACTTAACGAACTATACTGTTAAGTAGCTGTAGGTTCAGCTGATTAAGCAGAAAAATGTTGATAATCTATCACTGAGATGAAACAAAAATCTGATTAATTGTTTTATCGTTTTTATTAATTTCTTATCATAACAAACTCGGTACCTTCAGTCTTGAAGTTTTGGTTGGACAAAATAAGATAATAACATGATCTTGGGTGTAATGAAATTGTGATGGATGTTTTTCAACACGTTGGGACCCAACTATCAATTTATCAAAAGAAGTAATCATTAACTGCAGCCCTGAAGTAATTGTGTGAGCCGCTTATAAAGTTTCTAAATTTCTAAGCAGATCAATCAATACAGAAAATAATAATTGCTCGCAGCTGGAGCCAGACCAGTAAATCGCAGATCGATATCATCTTATTGCAGATATATTAATATTGCTGTGTACACCAGCGATCGCTGATAGTGATCAGTACTTGTATGTTAAATTAGGTTTGAGATAATTTTAATCTCTAGTCTCTGTTACATAATTTCTCCACCAGAGGGAACTGATAAGTTGATTTTTTTTAAATGTAAAGTGTTTCACTCAGCATGTATCTTAACTGTTTAAAGAACAAATCTAAGAGATAGATAACAAGTTTGTTGTTTATTAAAAAAGAATTAATATTGATTTTTGAAATTCTCAAATATCAATGTCAGTATCAACCGTAAGAAAATCCTTCACTGCTTGTGCTGTACCTGCAGTCCCACTTTTATCAAGTTTAACAAGGCTCCATCTCTGGTGGTCTCCGGTGGTCGCCCGTTAAGTTGGGCAGGCTGAGAGAAAGTGGATACAACAAAAAGTAACTTCACACCGTTGATGCGTTGTACATTGTAAATGAATATTAATTAAATAGATTAGAGAATTTAAGGGTGGACTTTTTCTTTGAGAATATAAAAGCTTAAAGTAAATGTTTGCTGATAAATAGGACAGCATACGGTCTCTATTTTAATACTTGTGTAGAGGAAGCAGTTTGACAGTAGCGCTCCATCTTTGCTCCCAGGTGAGCACATGATGTGAATCACACGGTGAATTTAATTCTAACTGTCCATTCTGTCTCATTAACTCTTAATTAGTTTACAGAGCACATGTAGCCTGATGTATATTATTCACTGACTTTTTTATATATATACATATATATATATATATATATATATATGTATATATATATGTATATATATACTTGCAGTCACTGCCACTGCGTTGATACTCACAGCTCTTTCATTTTTGTTCCCCCACTTTGTCCCCAGCTAGGGGCCTGTAAGATCGTTAAGTCTGCGCTCATAATTTGTTCAGTAGTACTCATCTACTGCTGCCATGCCAACATGTAACACAAGGCAAGTAAGACATTCTGGTCCTCACACGGATACACTCCGAGCCAGCAGGCTCCCTTACTGGCTGCTTTCTCTCTCCCATCATGCTTTTGGAGCGCGTTTAGGACCCGGGAATTATGGGTTAAGGACTGATCATTAAGCTTTGGAGATGTAGTTATTGTTGTTGGGGGTGTTTTTTTGGGGTGGAGTGGGGGTGTGTTCATGTTTTAATGTAAAGGTAAGACTGTATAAACATATTGTCCGACTGTTCTGGTGCAGGCACCACCAGAGAGTCACTTAAACCACTTTAAATAAAATCATTTTTTTATTTCTTCTTCAACATAAATCATTTATTACTGAGCTTGTCCTGAAAAATAAGTCTGTGAATCGCTGGATACGAGACTATCATCACTTTTTCCTTATCATTTTCTTATGTGTAACTCAACAACACTCCAAATTACAGCTGAAATGATTAGTCAATTAATTGATTAGTTAATCAATGGAAAATAGAGATGTTCCGATACAAATTTTTTCTTCACAATATCGATTCCGATACCTGAACTTGTGTATCGGCCGATACTGAGTACTTATCCAATAGCAATGTGTTGAAAAAAAGATTAACAGCTGTAGCCTACTAACCCTGTATGTGATATGATTGCTGTCATTGTTGTATGTCATGGCTCAGGGTGAACCCTTTGTAAAACATGAACAGATACATGAATGACATAGAATCTTTCTTTTATTATCTCATTTGACTGTCAGCCATAAAGAAATGAATCTAGGTATAAACAACAATTCCTGCACTAGTTGTACTAACTCTAGTGTCTCCCATTGAAATTAAAGCCTTGCAGACTGTACACGTTGCCTTTTTACTGCTGGGACGTACCAGTGCCATGTTACCAAATTGCTGACATTTTTCTAACGGCTACTGTTACACTATTTACCGGAAATCAATTCTTCTTTGGCGCTCTAAAACAATCAAAGGAAGTTGTGCTGTGCAGCCACTGGCAACTACTGTTTTAGAGCGGCGAAGAAGAATTGATTTCAGGGAAAACTCGTTTGACCATATTTTAGGCAGTATCAGAGGTATTTCAGATACTAGTAATGGTATCGGAACAACTCTAATGGAAAATTGATACATTTTGATAATGGATTAATTGTTTTTAAGTCATTTTTAAGCAACTTTCCCCAAATTTACTGATTCCAGCCTCTCAAATATGAATTTTTGATTGTTTCTTTAGTCTTTTACAACAGTAAACTTACCATGTTTGTGTTTCAGACCACTGATTGGACAAAATAAACAGATTGTGAGGGGGCCTTAATTACTATTACTCGAATAATCAAAAAAATAAAAATAACTGATAGTGAAGATAATCGTGATTTGCAGCTGTATTCCAGATGATCTCAGTAAATTTTCTCTGACAGGTCAGGAGGTTATTATGTAATACTCAGACCTCGAAAGACAATTTTGTCTTCTCTAGCAATGCATCGCCCATAAAATGTGAAATGCACATGTGTACAAACTACCATAGCAAATTGTATTTAATCATGGTGTTAAATACAGTAAACATTTTCAGTCCATTCCCTGTGATCTGATTTTGAGTATCAAATGGACATTTAGAATTCACTCTGTAGAATGACACATTATGTTCACTGTGAACTGTCAGTCTCATATCTTGTTGTCTGACTCTGTTGTGCAGGTGAAGGAGCTCTTGACATCGTTCGGGCCGCTCAAAGCGTTCAATCTAGTGAAGGACAGTGCCACGTCACTGTCAAAAGGTTACGCCTTTTGTGAATATGTCGACATCAGCGCCACTGATCAGGTAACGATGGTGTGTGACTTCTCTGTGTTAAGATCATTAGCCGTGTGTTTGATCTGCTGCTCAGAGCTCTTTGTGTGGTCTTCACCAGGCTGTCGCTGGGCTCAATGGAATGCAACTGGGAGACAAAAAGCTGATCGTCCAGAGGGCGAGCGTGGGAGCTAAAAACGCCAATCCTGTGAGTAGGACTCTGTTTACCCTTTACCCTCTTTAAAGGCCACAGCTGGAAAAGCGTAGCTGTTATCAAAAACAATGACAATGGTTCTGTTCCATTCAATTGTCCCAGGAAACTATGATAGTGTAACGACACTAACAAATGAAAGCATTAATCCGTGTGTGTGTGTTCTTAATGATATCATTAAATTGTTTTTTAAATAATACAGAATTATATTATTGTATTTCATGTTTAGTGAGTTTTATTTGCATAAAGCAAAGCTTTACTGTGTAAAACAGCAAAAAAAATACACACACACACACACACACACACACACACACACACACACACACATACATATACATGTACAGGATGTATATATATATATATATATATGTGTGTGTGTATGTGTATGTATGTATGTCTCTGCTTTGCTTCATGTACATTGTACCTTGAAGTATTATGGAAAATATTGCATATGGCAGGAAATATCGCGATATTCGGCCAAGTCTAACTGTCACAGGATTAATTAACTAATCACCACACCCTCCGATTCATACTCACTGCCACCCAGCCCTTTAGCACTTTCTGCTGCTGCACCAACATGACCCAAATGTACTGGTTTGTCTTGTCAGTACAGGATTAAAACAGGGCCATGTATTATAAAAGAATTGAGAATAACAACAAAAAAAGAGCATATACACAAATTGTCTGATCTGTTGTTCACACTTATGTTGAAAAATCAGACTTCATTTATGGTGAAAAGATCCTGGGTCTCCTGAGAAAACGCTTTCTGGGAACACCTGTGCTTTTCCAACTATGATGTGTCAAAATGTCCTCTGTTAAAAAGGCCTGTTAGAATAAAACTGTACGCACACATAAGCCCGACTGTTATTGGAATTTCCAGCCTCCACACAGTCTCACAATGGCAGGTTGTGGGTGTGAAAGGTCAACAGAAAAATAACTTCCAACATTTAATTCACTCCAAAGATTTCACTAAAGACACTAAAGATTCAGGGACATGAAGCAGCAGGTTTTATGGGAAATAAATCTAGTATGAGATCAAGGTTGTGAGTCTGGAGTGTGATCTTGTTTATTTACAGTACTGAGTCTTAGCTGAATATGTACATACTCACTCTTCCTCCACCTGTAGACCTCCATCATAGAGACCCCAGTGACGCTGCAGGTCCCTGGGCTTCAGAGGCTGCAGAACTCTGGCATGCCCACGGAGGTGCTGTGCCTTCTCAACATGGTGATGCCTGAGGAGCTGGTGGACGACGAAGACTACGAGGAGATCCTGGAAGACATCCGTGAGGAGTGCTGCAAGTACGGCAGTGTCCGCTCCATCGAGATCCCCCGGCCCGTCGACGGTGTGGAAGTCCCCGGCTGTGGAAAGGTGAGCCCTGTGTTTGTAAAGTGCCCTTTTATTTACATTTTATATTCTATATTTTAAGTTTAGACTTATTATTAACTCCAGGAAACTTGGGTTATCGAACCAAATTAAAGGCTAATTAAGAATTAAAAGCTCAGTTTGCGTTAGAAGAAATTATGTTTTTCTCTTCACTGTAACTGGTCTTTGCTTATAATTTCCAAACAGTTAAAACATGGTGGCTCTTGTGGAAGTGCTGTCAAGGTTCTGCTAAATAAGCCACCTGAATAAAGCTACTAAATGAAGAAGCAGCAGTTGCAGCATCAAGCTTGCTGTGATAACGAAGACTTGAATCTTTAAGGAAAATCATAGCTTACCACATGCAGCATGGCTTTGTGAGACTAAACATTAATTCTTTGCTAACCTCATGTTACCATTTGAACGTAATAATATTTACAGGTTTATATGGGACCCTTTTTTTCTAAACGCTTTAATTTCAACTTTTTAGCTGCACTTTGCACGAGGATTTAAGGATTTAATGTATAATGTAATATAATCATAAGTTATAATGATTTCACAGTATGAACTTGAATCTAATATAAACTGAATCTGTGTGTAACATCTTACCTGTCTGGTGCTCAGAAAAGTGCTGAACTTGAATTACCATGAGATCCAGACCGAGATTTTAATAATTAATGAAGTCACCACTTTCACACAGCACCATCTCTCAGTTTGGAGGTGCACAGATCGATCCTGCTGCTGTGTGGTGGCTGGAGGGTTTAAATAAACTCCTTCAAACAAACACAACATCAGTAATGACATTTCTATAAAACCACAGGTTACATTCAATGACAAATGAGCAACAATACTGGTAAAACTCACTACTCTAACCCATTACAGACTCTGCTTTAATTGCATTAAAACTTGTTTTGTGATGTTGGTGAGGTCTGCGTAGCTACAACAGTAAAGTGGTGGCATTAAAGAGGTTAGGAGAAGACGTCTCGCTTTCACTACATTCAGTAACACACAACGATTTTGCAAGAAGTCCCTGAAAATACCAGAATCTCACTTCCTCGCATTCGTTTCTGGTTTGCGCCAACGTTTTACAACATTTACATATAATCATCATTCCAGACTTTTTTCTAAAGTTTTCATGGCCATACAAGATGTTTGTCACAAAGTTTACACATGTGTGGAAGCTCAGAATGAGTTCTCATGCCTACGTGCGTACATCTGAGGTCCTTTTCTGATCTTCATACCTACTCTTTCTGATTTCAGATCTTTGTGGAGTATGTGTCTGCTGCAGACTGTCAGAAAGCCATGCAAGCCCTCACCGGCCGCAAGTTTGCCAACAGAGTGGTGGTCACAAAATACTACGATCCGGACATGTATCACAGACACGAGTTTTAAAGCACAGATGAGTCTGATGGAGAATCTCACTCCTCTTTTCTGTTTGTAAGCTTGGGTTCAGTCAGTTCCTTTACTCCTCTGAATGTTGTGAACGTGTCCTTAGAGACTGGACTGGGAAAAGACATTTTATTACATCTTCTACTCTACAAACTGAACTGCAGTGTGTGTTTCTTCAGTACTGAATATCTAACTCCCAGCTTTAGCCTAATACCCCTACAGTGAACTGAACTCATTCTGAATTTAAAAAAAAAAATGACTGTAGTATACATTACATTTGCAGTAGAATGAATGTGACATGTATCTTACCTAAACCTAAACTAATACTGCCTGACAATGCCAGAGTAGCTGTCTATCAAGTATGCACTATATGAGAAAAACAACAGTCAAATGTTTAGATTTCCCTCCTGAGCACAAATATTTATTTCTGTTTTAGACCCAGACTTGAGAAGCCATTATAATGTTAATTGTGTGGCTATGAGAAAAAAAAAAGTTTTTAATTTATTTATTTATTTTTCCAGAGTAATATTTTTCCTCTATACATATATTAATGTTCCTTAAACATATACAATGCTATTAACTGTTCTGCTTATATAGACCAAAGGTTGACTTGTTTTGTCATGTGAGAAGATACGTTTTGTCGGAGCAGCCTCAAAGGTCATTTTGTAAATATGAAATAATCATGTCTAAACAAATAAAATTGGCCATGCACACTGGAAGCTACTTGAATTAGAAAATAATCTGAGTAAAAAATGAATCATCATTGAAAAGATTTCATCAAAAACTGTTGACTGTTTTAAACCCCTCCCTCGAACAGTGATTATCCAATAGCAACTTCCTAACGGTAACTGTAAATGTAAACATTATTTTCAAGGTTAATAAGTATATAATTTATACTATGCATTAGTGATGGTATCACAGTTTAGGCTAACGTTAGCAACAAAACACATTGGGGAGTCTTAATCCTAAAAGTAAAAACATTTGAAAACAGTTTAAAATACAAACGTGCAATTCAAATGTCGGATAAACAGCCAAACTGAATTAAAGTCTGATCTTACATTTTCATTAAAATACCAGAAATAACTAAGCTCACTTAAAATAACTCAGCTGGAGACATTAAAATATCAGCTGGAGATGCAGTTGTCTTTTTTAACAGGTCCAATGGAGTAGTGTGAATGTTAGCTTAACTGGTTAACAAGCTACAGCTTATAAAGATGGTCAGTGACAGTTGTCCTTTCAGCCAGAGAAAACAACAGTTGCTTGCTGAAAAACGAGAAATTATTTTTGTCTGTGTCTATCTTAAATCAAAGAACCATTGTGTAAAAAAGTACATGGGATTTAAATGGTAAATCTTCCATGATAGCATTTTCAGGTGCTTATGTGCTGTGTGAGAATGGAAAATGGAAATGAAAAGCAAGAGTTAACTTAACCAACCTTAGTCACTGTTGCGTTAACAGTGACTAAGGTTGCCGGAGCTTATGTGAGAACGGAAAGTAAAACCCACATAGCAACAGTAACGAAGGGGGTGGGGCTTTATAAACAGTCAATTGTATTCTTGAACCAGCAATAGTCAACAATTAATTGTCAAAATCAGAATAACAAAATCAAACCTGTCTTCATGGTCTTATTTAAAAAAAATAAAGCAGATATGCACATGTTAAGAAATGCACCTTTAAGTTTTGTAGATAGCATACTGAATGAATTTTTTAAGCTTTATTCTTTGTGTGCTGTTTTGCATCTGTTGATGAAAATGTATTAAATTAGAGCATTCATTTATTATGAAATATAATTTATTTGCATAATAAAATGCAGGCACAAATACAGTATCCAAACAGATACGTCAGAAATTGGGATGATGACCTGGTTTGCACATACAGAAAACTATCTGTTCTGTTTCGAAGTAAACTAATTGTGTTTTAATGTAATTAGCGGAACATACCAAATGATAATAAACTACTGTATTTTATACATTTTTGGATGGCCCGAAATTTTAAATCATTTTTAGTTTGTACAATCCCTGCCACTGCCATTGCCTTGAATAAATGCTTGCATCCACTGTTAGTCTGTCTGTGTGGGATTCTTCTTTTTTTCTGTATCACCTATGACATAAACACACTTCTTCAGTTGTGTTTAGGTCATAGGTGATACAGAAAAAAGTGATAATCTAGATATTTATAGCAGTTTTGGTTTGTTTCTTGGTGGTGGGCAGAATCACAAAAAACTGTCCTCCAGTGATAACAGTGAAGAACTGCACCTCTTCATAAAATTCACAGAGTGTAAATATTGTGATCACCATTCTTGATATTAACATAAACTACTTGCTATTAGTGTAATTGTTACAAACAAAAACAGTGACATTGCTATTGTCAATATAGTCGTGTTTTCTGGTGTGATGAACCTGAGCATCAATATAAGCGTCAAAGCAGACATAGTAAATATTTACAATATTCCAGTGGCTGTGCTGCATCTGCAAAGACGTACATTTCTTCTGTAACATACAAGTATAAACATAATGCGGCATATGGTAGCTGTCTTTAAATTTCACTATAGTAGGAGCTGTTTTAGAGCTGTCCTTATGTTTTTTGTTTAAGATTTCACTATGATAATACCTGTTTGAAACGTATCTATTATTTTGTTTATGAGCATCATGATGATGATGCATACAGTTCAGTTCAGATCAAAAACAGTATTGTGGTTATAATCTTTTAATTTTTTTTTTGGCAAAATTACGTGAAAATTGAATACAGTAAACCGTAAAATCCTTGAATTAATCAACTGTTCATTGGAAAAAAATGTCTGGATTCCCTGAATATGACAGGAATTCTTTGTCTTTGTTTTACTTTACTACATCATCATGCTTTTTATTTAAGTATTATCATTTTATTTTCTCATCTGTATAATTGCAATATATGTTTCGTTGAATTGAAACAGGAAAGAAAAACAGTCAATAATGATTTTATTTTGTAGGATTATTTGACCGGATGTATGAAGATTCTACGTTAGATTATGACGACAGCAGTTAACGCCTCTGAGCTTTAAATATTTTGTATTTTTAGTTAATATTTTTTTTATCTGTATACGTAATGTATATGTCTCAATAAAGTCCTTTCTTTCAAAAACAGGAAAGAAAAAGAAAATCCATTAATTGTGGTTTTATTTTGTAGGCTGTGACCGGATGTTGTGTCGTAACTCTACGTCAGAACACATGACCATGACAACAGCAGTCAACAGATCAGTATATGACAGATGTTCGTGCAGGACGAGCCGCTTCATTCAATGTGGAGGAAACGCGGAGGGGAGCGGTCTGTGTCTGGATTATTCGCCGCGGAGGAGAGCTAAATGTACTGAAACATGTCTGGGGAGAAGGTCACGAATCCCTGTAACAAATTTCAAGCCAACATCTTTAATAAAAGTAAGTGCCAAAACTGCTTCAAGTCCCGGGAGCTGCATCTGTTGAACGACCATGACAAGGAGCAGGTAACGTTACACTACTCTTGGATTCAGTTAATGTCACTGTTGACTAATCAATGATTTTCAAGAGTTACGTCTTGAAAAAAGCCTTTACGTTTTTCTAACTTGTACATGTAAAACAAACTTCAACCTTCAATCTCAGTCTGAAAACATGCAAATATATAACTTGAAAATGTTTAATTTAAGGTTTAATTACCTTCTATCTTTACTGTGGTCTAATTGCTATTTTCATTATTAATTCATCTGCCGATTATTTTTTTGTTTAACCGATTAATCTTTTTTGTCTTTAAAACGACAGTAAATAGTGAAAAATGCCTGTTATAATTTCTTCACGTCTGACTTTATCTGACCAACAGTCCGAGATCCAAAGATTTTCACTTTACTTTCATATGTGACTAAGAAAAACACCAGTCTAGTAATTGAGAAGCATAAAACAAAAAATATATTCACATTTCTGCTTTGGAAAATGTCCAAAATGATTACTCAATTATCAAAATAATGCAGATTCATTTTCTACTAATCACTTAGGCCCAATTGACTAATTGTCCGAGCTCTAATTCTCAGCATCCTTGGAACTGAGCTGACTGCTAGTTTTCTTTGATTAACAGTTAATTTATTTCCTCAGTTCAAACGATTTTGTCTTGCAAGATAAGCATGGAGATTCATCATTTTTAACAGTGAATCTATTAATTACACGTTTTTCAAAAAAAATGTAAAAATTAAGACAAATATCCCAAATCCCAAAGCAGAGCCTCCTTTCAATTCCTTATACTAGCTGTCCAAAAATCCTTGTTTTGATTGAACTGACAGATTCCTGATATGAAACAAAGTGAAGCAGCAATAGTAGTAGTAGTATTTTATTTGTCCCTGTGGGGAAATTGGTTTGCAGCTTTATCACAGGCATTTAGATAACATACAATAAGAAAAAGTATTTGAGACAATGGAATCAGAAAAAGTTTAATGCTTGTGCACGTATTCGCCAACCATCAGCAGCATAGACAGCTTATTTTTGCATAGAAAGCATGTGTACACTGGTTCACCGCATCTGAAAAAAACAGTTCCTGCAGGTCTGTCAAATCCAGGTGATGTTAGGAGACAATCATGACGGCTTCCTACATGCCTCACATTGTTCAAATATGTTATCGCTCTCTGTGCCCCTGCCTGGTTTCACTGTGCCCTGTAATTTCAGCAGTGTTGCTCAACCTGCAAACACTACACATGGTATTACTCTGACACAGTCGGCTGCACTCATGGAGAAAAGCTGTTTTGTGGTTCATAGTTTCATTGTTTTTCACATGGTGTCAAATGTTGCATACTGTGTCTGAATTTTCTTTATCCGTCTAAGTTTTCACAAACGATAGAAAGAGAAATTCACATCTTTTCCCTCTTGTCAAGTCAAAGTTAAAGGCTGAGCATCAAAACAATCTGCTCCATTGGGGAACGACAGGGAGCACAAAGTCATGTTTATTTTCTTTGTTTGAGCCGCAGGAATTTTGGGACATATTCACAAAGAAAATCTCAAGGTAGTGTTT